TTTTAGGATTAGCGATTTTCCAAACCTAGGATTAGCGATTTTCGAAACCCGGTAGTGTCTTTGTGCCAAGTATGCGTTCAAAAAATGTTAAATTCAAAATAAAAATAAACAATGGTTTAATAAAATAAAAAAACACGCTCTTGTAGATGACCGAACTAAAAAGTATAAATTTATTTTCAATAAATTTAAATTAAGAATAGTGTGATTAAGGTGCTTTTCAAGAAATTTCCACAATGACTCCTACTTGTACCAACATCTGTAATTAAAATATCATACAATTGACTCCAAGCGGTTATGCTTATACAAAAGCTTGTCTTTTTTTAGTTTTTTTAAACTATGGTCACCTAATTTTTGGGTGATTATGTCGCCGATGGACTTCTACATCAACTGAAGGGTTGCATATCTTGAAAAACTGTGGGCTCACTCACCAGAAGTATTGCAATCACTGAGCCAGACGAGCCAGTCAAATCGTGCAACACTGGAATTTTACGTTGCCCTACCACATATAAAATGTTCTTTTTTAAAGGTTTACCTAATTTACTAAGTGAGGCGATGTAAAAGCTCTTTGCTTAAGTTTATAATTTTCTACAAAGAGTTAAAACAAACTATGTGATACGCGCCTTTAGAATTAAAGGGGAAAATTTTGACGATTTTGACCTTATGTCAGGAAATGACCTAAAACAACTCTACCTTTTTCGACTCTTATTAAAACAAGTTCCGATTTTAGAAAGTTACATAACGTATGCTTCGGTCTCTTTCACTCCCCTCCAATCACCGCGTTCGTTCGTAAGTGCACAAAATTAAATCTGTATTTTACGTTTCCCAAATATTGTTGTTTTTTAAATAGGTCACTATATTTCTAAAGGTGATTAGGCATTCCCTGACGACTGCAACATTGTGGGATGGAAAAATAAAATTGAGATCATAACATCTGTAGCTCAGAACCACGTGCATACGTACAGCGTTTTGGCCGTTGGCTCATTAATTTTAGGCGGGAAACTCGTTCTTTTTATTAGACCGTCGCACAACTACGGAAATGCTAATGATGTTTTATAACAAACAGTGACGGTGAAAGTGTCTCGGTTGAAGAAAAAAGATTCGTTTAATGTCTTTGAAATGTAAAACACATTAAAACAATATTTCTTTTGACCCTACCTATATTACAGTAACACTTTTGCGATTTAAATTGTTCAATACAATTTTACACTTTCAATTTTTCTAAAATGTTTCATATGGCAGCCATAATTAAATAAGTAGTTAAAAAATCTGCTTTCATTATTGGAGTATCATAGGTTTGAAGTAAAATACAATTTTTTAAAGTAAAGTAAATTACTATAAGTATGAAAACTGCCAATGCACTCAAAACAAATACATAGTTAAAGGATGGATGCAGAAACTCTGTCTGAAGCTCACTCAGCCAAAGTGACTCATCTAGCAGTATCTTATAATGCAAAATGAATCAATCCCGCTAACCATACAAGCCTGTCGGAGTAGCGTGTAATGTTACTATATATATAACTCTAATATACATATTAGTCACAATGAAACATCAGCAGAGAAATTACCCGTAACAAAACCTGAAAAACATATTGCAAAAAAATATTGATTTTTTGCTTTAATTATAAATCAGGGAGTAGGATATTTCTGCTGAATTTGAATACATTACTTTTGAAATGTCCAGTATAAATGAAGCATAACAAAATATTTATATGAGACCGAACCTTTAGAAGCGAGGAGTGGTGAGGACTGGTATTAACATAATTGGAGGTCGGCGCGACGCCGGGACCGGTTTTCGAATATGGCTGGGATGTGACGTCATCGCTGACATCATCACCACATGCGAACTTTTGACAATATCGAGAATATCTCGAACGAAAAAAATTCAGCTTCCGCTGCCGATTACTGTTAACTAGGTTAATTTTTGACGTGTAATGTTTTTTATTGAAAGTTGATTTGATAATTCATAATTTCTTATACTCAAATTATACGTTAAGGGAATTAAAAAAAAGTAGTTACTACCTACCTACTTTACTTTTTTAACCTGTTACGGCGTCATGCCTTAATCCATAATTATTATTTATTCTTTTTCCTATACAACATTTAAATTTTTCGTATGATTGACAAAGTTTCCACGGTTGACGAAATTTACACAAACAAACAAACTGTAGAAAATTATACTTCATCTAATATGACAGTACACGTTGTAAATGGATTAGGACGACATGCAAACAATCATGATTTCAAATTGTTGTGATATTTAATGTATTATATTAAAAAGGAGCGGCGGCTATCGCGTTAGTCTCTATTAAAACAAGTGTAAACGCGCACGAAATACGGTTTTTAGGTCAGAAGACACTCCCAATCACCCTGCCCATGACGCCCCCGACTTTCCCGTGGCCCCTTTCTTTCAATATTTAAGAACCCGCACCTATAGGGTATCCTTGTATAGGATGTTTGAAAAAATTCTGGTAACCGATATTCACTCACATAATATATTATTGCATTACTCGCATGTTCCCGTTTCATGGTATTAACTATTTGAGTTAATTAATAAATTTCGTTTAAAATCGAAAATTTTACAGGTTGGTGGGTATCTAATGATAGCGTTCCCTATAGAATTATTTAAAATTATTTATAAGACGGAGACGTCCTCTTACGGATGTACTCCGTACAGACTTTATACAATTATTTAATTTTATTATTTTTTTTATACAATATTGTAATTAGACACCAATATTTGCTAACTTGAAAACAAAATACTCAGTAAAATTTTAGCAAGCAGCATTATATCGGCTCTTATATTTCAAAATACTAATACTACTACAACAAATAAATCAATGGTAGAATACATTTTATTTAATTTTCATGTCTTGCTGCTATCGATTGAATTTGAAATTGATGATGATGTTTTTTTATAATAACTAAATAAAAGAATAACCTCTTTTAATAACATCGAAATTAACTACTGCTACTCTTAAATAAAAATACCATTAATTCATAATGTAAGCAACGTTTAATTATGGTCACATTTAAAATAACCATACGGTGACATAATACGATACTGAGCGAAAATTTTGCACCGGGCGACTTTATTTTTTTATTTACGTTTACTATTAGAAACAAAGTTATGAAATATTATTTTAGAAACTACAGTTCTATAAACATTATCAAAGTGGTTACTTTGCAAGGTTTTGCACGAATATATTGAGATTATGCTTAAGCGTTTTAGTTCAAGAAAACAATCTTGAAACAGCACAAAAAGCAGTAGTATACGACACGATGCTTGAGGGTATTGACTTCAAAATGTCTTTGGCCTTATTTTCTACCGATGTTGGCGGCCTATAGGGCGATTCTATGATAATAAAAAATACATAAAAGTATTGTAGCTCACAATATTGCAACTAGTTATTAATATCATAATATTTATCTTATTTTTTTTTAATTAAACAAGTAAAAATAAATAAGCGTAAATAACTTTTCTTATTTTATACCTTCGTATTAATAAAAGCTAAGTAAATAAATATAATAACGTATTTATGAGTATATCGACTTAAATAATATTATACAAAGAATTCGTACTAACGAAAGAACAATACTGTATATTTTTAACTGTAACTGTCACTGTATATATATTTTTTAATCAAGTTGTAAGTTTTACAAAGATCGTTAAATATTACTTTCTATTAATAATGTAAAAAACTTTCTCTCGCTTCTTTTATACGCAAAATAAAAACATAATAAAAATTAATTTTTAGTAATTTTAATACTAGAGCCGTTGCAAAATTAAAAAAAAATAAGCGTTACTGCTTCGATAAATGTTTAGAAATATGGACAACTTTGTCGTATCATAAATTCATTAATTCCTCATGATACTGTTGTGAGTAACATAGCTAGTATCCAATTATAGAAGAAAAATTCACTAGTAAATTCAAGATTCGAACCGGGGTCTACAATTTTTTTCGACGAAACACCACTCTACCACCACGCCAATGCAGTTGACTTTAAAAAATAACAAAATGTGATAAAAACAGTTTTTCGCTTCTGGCCATCCTATTTTTATGCAGAGTTAAGAGTTTCTTTCATATTCATTTAATATTAAGGTAATTACGGTAACGTTGAGTAATGTAACGTATGCAAATTCATTTGCTAACTAATTTTATGGAGTCATTTACAGATATTATTAACAATTGAAAATATAAAATATATCCAAATATATTTTCCAAAAAAAAAAATAATTACCCAAATTGGGAAATGCTTTCTTTTTCCACTCACTCTAACTTATGTTTTCTTCGTAGAACACAAATAGGCATATCAATTTTTATCACAATTTACCAAATGCAATATAAAATTATTCATTCGAATTTATGATACACATAAATATAAAGCCACAAACACGACCGCGCAGCTATGAATCGGAACACAAGTTAAATAAAATTAAGTGCAGTTTCGCGGCAACTAGCAAGTAGCAATAGCAGCTATTGTTAACAATCTCACAACGATATTTTTATGGGGTGATATGTGAACAAAAATAACTGCTAATAGCAGCAACGATAATCTGTTATAACGTTGTTTTAACCACACAATATACATAGAACATTCCTGATTCAATGATATTAATCATAATTATTTTTTAATTAAAAAATATTTTATATGCTTATTTATGTTTTATCATATTATCATTTTTCAGATAGTGTTAATATTAAACTTTTCAAATGAATGCATCTTACATGAAATGTCATACACCTGTCATTTTTACGTCTGCGTCGACTTCGATTGTAGAACTAGAATAAAATATTTATCTTAAAAGCTAAACGAAAAAGTATATAGTTTATATTTTCTCTTTTGAATGACTGCCATCGAAAAACAATTTTTCGCCCAACTATCTTAAAACCAAACAAAGTATTGTCTCTTAAAATTAAAGTATAAAAAAAATGTTTTTTGGAAATATTACCGACTAATAAATAGTTCTTGTTCATTGAAGGATTAATAAAAAGGGTGTTATGGCTCCTGGTAATAAAGAGCGTCACCCAGGGCATACGGGTACTATACCCAAAACAAAAGCACGAAACAACTGTAACGTACCGCAAGAAGCAGTGACACCAACGAGACGAGACATGACAACGAATCTGGTGACGGTAGTAACCATATCTTAATACAATAATCATAACTAATATTAAAAATGTATATTACATGTTTTTTTACATTTATGCCTTGTTAAATTCTATGAACACAACAATATTTCTGTTAGACAATTCAATCTGAAGTTTTTCCAGACCACATGATGTGTATTATTTTTAGAAACTGGGAGAGTTCAGAATTTGGACATTTGCCAGTTTGGTGTAGTTTCAAATACTTATGTTCATATCAGAACTTCATTCTCATCTAAATATATACTAAAAGGTATTTTTATATGATTTAGATTACATTCAAGAAGTATGTTTGGATACATGTAGTTATAAATGTATGTAGTTATAAAATATAACATTTAGCCATATGGGAGCATGCTTTTCTAAATTCAGTAGGAAGAAGGTATTGGTCCATCACACAGGCTTAAAGTGTTTTAGTTTGGACATTAATTATTTCAATTTTATTTTTCACTTTCAGACTTCTTTGGATTGGGTCCCTGTTTCTGAGTACAATACAAGAACTAATTGTAACCAGTCAAGAAAATCAACCAACAATACTTCAGATCAAGAATTAACAGATTTAGGTAAGAAAAATAGTTCAATTTTTATTTATTACCACTTTATAGCGCATACATGTATTAATTATTTTGTTGTTTTAGACAACTCTGTTTCATTTGAAAGTGGGTTTGGAAGGTTTGTTCCTGTAAGGCCTCAGCCGCGTGCATTACCCTTGACTGTCCAGAATAGAGACAACATTTCGGCTGACCACAATGATGATGGTGTAGGATCATCTATTTCTTCACACACATTACATCACTTTCAAAATGGTAAATATTTTTCATAATTATTAAATGTTTGAAGCTGTCTTAATGTGCCAATGTTAATTTCTGCTTAAATTGAATATTGCATTTAACAATTGGTTTTTTTTTCTAAATAATTAAAACTTATGATAATTTTATCATGTCATGTTTTTAATTCCGGATTGTTTGTACCTATGGTTGTAGTTTATAGTCTGTCTGTGACAATGGACACTAAAAGCATTAAAAAGACAGAACTGAAAATTAAATGTGATGCTTAGTAACAGTTTTACTTAAGGTTTTAAGTATACTATATAAGTTTAAGTATCTTGGTTTTATGAATTTTTTATGTGAAAATATAGCTAACGAGGTGGCTGTTCGACCTGATGTTAAATGAAACCCCCACCTATGGACATTTGCAACACCTGTTGGGTTACAATTCATTGCCATCTTTTACATTCTCACCAGATGAAATGCAGAAGTGTAACACTTCCATGTGAAGTGGAACTTCTTTTTTCTTTGGGGTCCTGGTACTTACCAGGTGGAACTTCCCATTACCTCTCTGATTCATATGTGTAGGTTTGGATTATGAAATGTGTTAAATTGTTTAAATCATTATAAGCTCCTAAAAAAGGTTTCAATTAAATTTCACATTAAATTAATTTTCATATCACATTTTTCAGTCATTTCAGCCTTATTCATTTAATTAAACTATAACTTATATTTAATTGAAATTCCCAATATTCAAAATTTTTGAATCAAGTCATGAAATTGAGGCCAATGTGATATGTGTAGACAAATATTCATGTTAACTAGGGTTACTGTTAGTTGAGAGTCAATTTAGAGATGAGGAATTCCTGAGATCAGACAATTGGATGGGATATATGCTGAGTGCAGGAGTATATTACTCTTTCATTTACACTGCATTTAAAATCCCTTTTTGTCTTAATCACACAACATTTATGTAAATAGAAGCAAATAAACAGATACAAATTTCCTAGTTTTCCACTTAATAGTACTAACTCAAACTGTATATAAGCTTTTTGTGTTTTATATTGTACTATTTAATTGTTGTATGTGTAATTATAAACAAATTTAATACCTGAATTTATCACCCTTTTAGGATTAATTCCTCATTCCAATCATGCTGCCGCTGCTGTTATGATAGTGAATCCAACAACACCAAATGCTGTAACAGGGAATATGTCTCAACCCTTTAATGTAAGTTTTTTTTTTAAATGTATTACATAATTATTACAGTAATATTTTTATGATTTACATGAGAGTATGAACTGTACATGCGTATGGGTAAGATTTTTGGTTTTTTGTTCATATATCTTTTGTTTGTCACGCTGCATATTTTGAACTCAAAATATGCAATGTGACTCGTGTCAGGGTATATTCAGTCTATTCTATATCGGAGTATAAAGCTCCACCTCAACCTGAAGGTGCTGTTACTTATAAAACAACAACATTGCCACATTAAACAAACATCTCAACTACATCCTTAAGAACAGATACACACCAAAACATATAATTAAAATCATGTATGAGCCCCCCCAGTCTAAGCTTACCTCTAATCCTCAACTGAGAATTAATTTGTTACAGGCACCAAACCAAAATAGGAATAATTTGACAAGGACATTGAATTCCACACGCAACACTTTTGACGCCAACACACAGGCCAACAACAATAATATCACACCACCAATTTCCAATTCAAGGTCCGTTACTAAAACAATTAATTTGATGAACAACATGTATGACCAAGGACAAGGAAGTTTTAATAATTTGAATGAAAATAATCAGGTTAGTGCTGCGCTGATTTAGTTATTTTATTGATTAAAACAACAATTTTTGTTTATTTAATGTTATTTTTTAGATAATATTGTGTGTCGGTTTTCTTTGCGTATTTTATGTAGCTATATACCTGTCTAAGCCATATTATGTGCAAGTGTGAAATCTACTCCTCTAGACTACCCGAAAGACCTGTAGGTGATACGAAAAAAACAATGGATGAAATATCCAAACCTAAAATGACTCACACCATGGCTTCCAACAAATGTCTCTGAAACTATTTGAACTCTCCAATAATTTTATCGTAGCATGCTAGAACAGGAAACTTACATAGATGTAGTAGTGAAAAGAAAGCTAATATTTTTCAGAAACATTTTTTTTATAAAAGTAAAGTATCTGCCTATACCTGTCCCACTGCTAGGCAAAGGCCTCCTCTGTACAGAGGGTCTCTGGGCATAGTCCACCACGCGCCATTGCGGATTGGCGGACTTCACATATCTTCGAAATAATTTTTTTTTGTTATTATTTCGAAAATATGTAGGTTTCCTCACGATGTTTTCCTTCACCACTGAGCATGTGATAATTCAGCACTTAAAATTATTAATTTCATTGGTGCCAGCACCGGGGATCGAACTCAGGTTGCTCGAGTATATTGTTTTAAAGGTGAGCGCCCGGACACTAAGCTTTCACGGCTATTAATTAAATTTTTTTATAAATATAACTATTTGTACGGATTTATTTAGTTTATTTAGTTCTTTTAGCCTTCATGGTCACGAGCTGAGGCATTGAATGTACAGTTGGACGGCAATAAACGCCGTAAAGGGTTCGAAGTTCGAGAATTTAAATTAAATATAAACGCGATAAATCCGTAAAAACAGTTTCACTTTTTTTTCGTTTATTTTTTATAAACATTGCCCTTACTTTAGGATAACATTATCCTGTGTTGTAAGGACGGTTTACAAACATAAATTTCGCGCGGACAAACAACCAAGATGTGAAACAACTATCTGTGGGTCACACAAAAAGTTGTCCCGTGTGGGAATCGAACCCACGACCCCCAACGCCGAAGCCGATACGTTGGCAACTGCGTCACGGAGTCATCATATCTTCTTTTTCTTCGCATCTTATAATGTGTGATTGCATAAATACAAGAAAAAAATTGAGACTAATTTTTTTTATTTATTTTTTTCACATTAAGGTTCGTAGGGAGTCTGCAAGAGCTCTCGGTGAGGCTATTGTGGCAGCGTGCCCAGATGCTGCCTCAGTGGAGCGAAGGCTTGGACAAATAAGAGAATACATACGAGTGACATCTTCCCTTGTGGATACTATGCGCAATTCCGAAGATGAGGTATATTTTTATCACTAATTTTGTTTATATAAAATTAATCCTGTATGAGATGTATGGACTTTTGGTATTGTATCATTTTTTTAATTCCTGATCTAGGCGTTTATAGAACAAACTAAAGAAGAATATGATGAACTTGTTGAAATGGTGAATAAACTAGTTGACAGTAAATGCAAATTGGAAATGATGCTTACTGATATTTCTCCAGATAATATAGAAGTTCCATCCGAAGAATCAAACACTTCCAATAATGTTGTCATAATAGATAATGCTAGCTCTGAAAATGTCCGTCTTGATACTACAACTAAAGAACCTAATCCTGATCAAGGTTCTAAAAATATCAACGAGATTAGCCTGAGCACTAATCTAAAAAAAGTGACGAACATAGAGAATGAACAATTGAATAAGTCATTGTCTAATTCTAAAGTGAACGGAGACAACGGCTCGAAAGATACATCCAAATCGAATGAAAAGAATTATGCCGAAGAGAATAAGGATACAGGGGGCGTCGAGATTGTGGAGTTAGAGTCGTTTGCTTGTGGTCACAATGACCCCAAGCATAACGATAAATGCCTAAATGATGAGCTGAGAAAAAATATAATGTCTTGTGCAGAAAAGGTTGCATTGATAGAGGAAATGAAAAATAAACATAATGACAACCAACACCAACAGGTTTTGTGGATAATTGTTAGAATGTGTGAACTTATATGTTGTCGATTGGAAAATGTTCATAGCATGCATCGAATGGCCAATTGTCATTGCTAAAAAACAATTTTTATTATATTTTCCTAATAGAGATTGTTTGGCAACCGTGTCGTGTTGTTGTTTCTTCTATAATATTAATTTTAACAATGTATGAACCCAAATGTTGTGCCCTATTGATGAGTGGTTTTTATATGTTAACAAATATTGTATTGTATGTGTGTGCTTATCATAATCCTAATTGTTCTCTCCATCACCCATTCCCCCAAAATTCATATCAACCTTTCATGCATAATCTCCTTTTTGATCTGTTTGCTGAACTCTAAAGTTCGCCTCTGAAGTTTATTCAATTTATTGCGCATTAATCTGTTTATTGGTATTATAGCCTACAATCATGATGAAAGGAAAAGTATTGCCCTCTCATTTGCTCTGTATTGTAAATCCTCCTGTCTCGTTCCTACACATTCCTAGTTGAGAGCAAATTTTTTGAATCAATAACTCTATTTACCGGCGATGGTGCACGCCCAGGTCTCCCAATTTTCATTGTTGCTCCATGATGACATGGTTTTTTTTATTTCTGTGGAAGGAAATTGATAATATGTATGAAAAGATCTATTGTTGCCTTCTCTTCGAAAAAATTATCCGTTTACTGCGGGATAACATTGTCCTGTTGTAAGAGTGTTTTACATACTTCAGTTTCACTTGGACAAATAACACAATCCGAAATAATTATCCGCGAGTCACACAATATCATGAACTGAAATAAGCTTAAACAATATCAATGGGAATCGAACCCTCGTCAACTGCGTCATGGAGTCATCAATGAAGCAGTTCTTGCTAATTGCCCTCAGGACGTCCAGGCCCTTTCCTTCTTGCTCCATGATGGCAACGCCTACCTAATGATTTCTCTCTCATCCTCAGGACGTCGTTGTCAGGCCCATATCCGTCCATAGCAACGGGTCGACGTACAGCGAAAGCGAGCTGTGGCAGAACGAGATTAAAAACAAAATGGAAATGTCGCAGGTGCGCCTGTCGATTTTGAAAGACCAGCAGAAGCGCCTGTTGAAGTACCAGGTGCGTTTGCAATTGCCTATTCATATTGTAACATTCCACATTTTTATGTAATAATTTGAAATGTTACATCGATAACATTAAAAATTAAACATCCATGAATGGAAATAAAACTAAAAATAAACGCGATATACAGCGTGTCGTTACCACCGCGACAATAAATAAACACACATATAGAGGATAACTTTTTAAACAAAAAAAGTTAGACGTTTTGTAAAATTGTTTAAACATTTAATTTTTAACAAATGACGGACTATGTAGGCTTTTTATTTATTTAACGGTGGTAGGGTCACGCAGCAGCCTCGGCTGTTGCACGAATGGACAGGCTCGTCCGGGTAAGTACCACGACCTCACAGAAGACCAGCGTAAAGTGGAAGTATGACAAATACTTTCGCGTTTCGTCTGGTGAGTGAGGTAGCCGGAGCCCAATTTTCAAAAAGTTGTCAACGCATCTGTAACCCTCGGGTGTGGCAGATATCCATGGGCGGCGGTATGACAACTTTTCACAATAAAAAAAAAGAAAAAAAAACTCACTTTTCTCTTTGGGATACTTTCTGGGTCTGAAAATTTGTCTTAGTGCATGTATATATGTAAGACACTTCAATGCAGCTGTCTACTGTACAAAATAAATACTAAATGTGTTTTTGGACAGGCCGAGGCGAAACAGCAACTAGAAGAGATGAAGGAGAGACAAGCACAAGAAATGCAAACTGGCGTTAACGACAATTTTGTCGGCATGCAGGTATGCCCACGGCGGGCACAGAAATCGATAAAATATATAAAATGGTTCTGTTATCAGTACATTATAATTGGCTGAAATTATACATTGATTGCGGTTAGAATATATGTATTTTTTTTATTTTTTTTTTGCATCAAACAGTCAATATTACATCGTCAATATTATCATAAGATAATATGATGCAAAAGAATGAATTTTAAAAGTAATAGACAAGCAGTAATAATTGAATAAATTAAAAATAAGAAGAAAAACAACAAATGAAGTAACAAAAACATTATTTGTGATAATTTGCATTTAAAAGTATTCAGAGATGTGAAAGATATCCGAAATTCGTAAGATTCATTATCATGTCTATTTATACAGCGAGTAAAGAAGTTATTACGTGTATAGTTTTTACGAAACCTTGTTGAAACAAAGATGTTAATGGTGTGAGGAACGGACGGGACCATTATATTAAATATGTTTTAGGAATGACGTAATTTAATATCGTTTAAGTGCTTGGACTAACTTTCAAATTTGTGTTTTTGTGTACCAATTGCAGAACATGGCGTTCGGCAACTACCAGCAGCCGAGCCGCATGTACGGCGCCAACCAGGTGGGCGTGGCGACGACGCTGCCCCAAACAGCCGATGGTGCCCACCAGATGGCGCCCACCACCAGCGCCGAGGGCCAGGGCCGGAGTGAGGAGCGCTTCTCCATCAGGGACGCAAATCTCACAAGCGCCGAGGTGCGACCATTTCCACTTCTTATTTCGTGGTAGAATGTTGTGAACATACAGGGGTTCCACAAGACATTTATCGCCGCCCGTAATTGATGATACGTCGCGCAGTTGCCAAAGTATTGGCATCGGCGCCGGAGGTCTTGAGTTCGACTCTCACACGGGACGAAAATATGTGGGGTATAGAATGTATATCTAATGAAAATAACCAAAACAAGTACCAAACTGAAAAGAAAGATAAATAAAACTAAACGAAGGCTATGGGTAAGAAGTGCGTTCTTCATCAGGAGGCGGCTGGTGAGGCGGGTGAGGGGGGCGGGGTGAGCAGCGAGCCCGAGGAGGAGGAGAGCGTGCTGCACGAGCGCGGAAGGGCCTTGCAGATGAAGCTGCGCAAGCTGCAGCTCAAGAAGCAGCACATGGAGAACCTGGTACCCGCACCGCCTCCACCGTCAACTAGTTTCTTTTGCCAAAAACGTTGCCCTTACCTTAGGATAACAATATGAAGAAGGGGAAACGTTTATTCACGGTCTAAAAACAAATTAATACATACAAAACTTAAAATTATCCTGTGTTTTAAGCATAAACATCCAGATGCGAAACGACTATCTGTGGGTCACACAAATTGTTGTCTCGTAAGGGAATCACCCACGACCCCAGACGCCGAAGCCAATTCAGGAGTCCTCAAAGCTTTTTTATGTGAGAAGGTGGCCAACGAGCTGGCGGCTCACCTGATGTCAAGCGACAATCGCCGCCCATTGACATTAGCAACGTCCGTAGGGTTTCAGAAGCTTATTATAAAGTGGGCTCCGGCTATGTTACTCAGCACAAACGAAATGCAGAAGTCACTTCACGCTAAACTACTTTGTTTTGTAATTACAAATAAGTGTACTCTCAGATATAAAACGACTGAATGTATATAATAGAAAAGAAATGCCAATCTCCATGCAAGAGCGTTTCTTCACGACTGGAACGTATCCGCAGGTGTCGGAGTTCCAGAAGCTGCAGATGGTGACCGGGCTGGCGAGCTCTCGCAACACCTATTCCAGTTCCGGCGAAGACAGCGCCGACGAGGAAACATCGGGAAAATGTACGACCTTTTTATTTCCATTGCAATACACGGAACCTCCATCCGCTGCGATTACATCCTTTATCGGAAGGATGTACTAAATGTTTCGAAATTTTCTTTATTGATAGCACTAGAGACCGTCAGCAGCTAACAGGACCGCAGAGTTAATTGGCGGTCCTTCTCTGAAGTTAAATTGATTGATGAGTTTAGTAAAATAAGCCTACATTGAATTAAATTAACAAATTTTGTCTTGGACCACCGGATAATCCATTGGTCTCCAAAGTATTGGTCTCTGGTTTAATCTAGAACATGGTGTTAGTTACCTTTACCTCTACTATACATATAAAAAAGCCACAATCATAATTATAGTGGGAAGTATAATCAATTTTTGATCATAATATAGTGACGATATTCTTTAGCTTTGAGATATACACTAAAAAACCTCCATATATAAATTATATTATTACATTATTTATATTTGCTTTATCATTTATTTTTCTTCATTAAAAATCTTAAATAATTATGTTCTTTTCAATATTAACAGTGAGCAACAAAGCCGGTGGGAGTATGAAAAACGAGGATCCATTTAAACTGATGGAGATTAACGCCATCAAGACTGCTTTGCAAAAAACTAAAGGTATATATCGCACATGTTATAATGACATGATCAACATAATCAAACAATTTGTTATCGTTATTTGATGACATTCATTGGCCTAAAATTTCAGATCAATAAATTTTTTATCATTAACGCTGTTAAAATGCTAATATCTCATATAACATCATTTATACCACTGGTAATGCAGTTGAAGAATTATGGCAATATCAATTTGGATACATCGTCAGCACTGATATTACATGTCTGATAAAGCAATGCAATAAAAAAACTTCAACTTCAATAGTCCATTTATAAAACTACGATTTTATATGTAAAGACAAGTCTTAACGTTACCATATCAAATATTGTTAGTATTATAATCAATAATTGATCATTTCTTGTATTTAAGCCACAACAAATTATAAATGAAACTGTCTTTACGGATTTACCGCATTTATTTTTAATTTAGTTACATAAAAACATATTCATTTATAATATATCAATGCAATCATTACATATCTGGTTATATTCTTTTTCAGATCTGATGAGGTCAGTGGAAACATTCGAAACGGAACACCTTGCGAATTCCCATGAGGAATCCTACGCTATGTCTAACCATTCTAACATACATGATAAGTGAGTTTTCAGTTATAGTTGTAGTAATATTAATTTGTACCAACCTTCAGTGCTCAGAACACTGTATAACATAATTTTCTTAATCTTTAAAACTCCGTGCGCAGTTGCCATGGTATTGGCTTCGGCACCGGTGGTCAAGGGTTCGATTCCCACACGGGACAACTATTTGTGTGACCTACAGAAAGGTAGTTGTTTTCCGATCTGGGTGTTTGTCCACGTGAAATTTATGTATTTACGGTAATTTTTTAAAATATTTTTTTGGAGACATTTTACACATCGTCCTCTAGTCCCAAACTAAGCAACTCTTGTACTATGGGTACTAGATGACTGATAAACATACTTATCTTTTTGTAAATAAATACATAGTACCCGGAGGACCGAGCTTTGCTCGGTTGGTTTTTTTTTTTGGTAAATCGTGTCTTTAGGAAATTGCATTTAGATACAAATTACTGAGTAATGAAATATGCATAATATTTTTCGATCTTACCGACGTAATAATAAGAAAATATGAACTGATGTTTTTCACAAAAGAAAGAACTTTAAAAAAAAAGGGAAAAAATAACAAAATAACAAAGTGACAAAAAATTAAAAATGAAGAAAGGAATGATCTGGAATCGAAAAAAAAAGTAAAAAAATAGATGTGTAAATAATCGTGATACGAACCACAGCCTTCTGTTTCGTGGCTGTTTATTATCGGCCGCCCGATTACCGACCGAGCTATTATAAAATTTTTTTTTCGGTGAAATCTACCGTCGTATTCGAATAATATTTTTCATTCCCTGAAAACAGGGATAAAAGTAAATTTTCTGAAAATGAAACCTAGCTAGATCGATTTTTCGCCCCCGAATCTACGTATATACTAAAATTCATGAAAATCTGGCTGGAGCCGTTTCCAAGATTCCGATTATATATATATATATATATATATATATATTATATATATATATATATATATATATATATATGTGTATATATATATATATATATATATATATATATATATACAAGAATTGCTCGTTTAAAGGGATAAGAGATTATATATATAATAACCCATACACTAGAATATATATAAAAATAAAAATATTTTGATTATATATATAAAAACCCAGACACTAGAAAAACGTTTTTTTTTTTAATAAAACTACCTCACTTTAGGATAACATCATCCTGTGTTGTAAGGACATTTTAACAAGCATAAACATCCAGATACGAAACACGAGGACAAACATCCAGATGCGAAACAACTATCTGTGGGTCGCACAAATAGATGTCCCGTGTGGGAACCGAACCCACGACCGCCCGACGTCGCCCGAAACGAATCATGGGCGGCGATAATTACCTAATTTCTTGCGGAACCAACCCCTGTTCGTTTACCGATTTCTACGATGAAATAAGACAAGTGGTTGTACCTCGGCGTCGGTGAGATTGGCGTCCCTGATAGGGAAGCGCTCCTCTATAATAGATCTTCTAGCAGTGTCGTTGGGACTTACTAGCTAATCTCTTCCGCACAAAATATAAGTAGTCTCAACTTGTTGTATCGCTTCCAGTAAATCGGATGGCGGCGGCAGTTTGGCCGGATGGTCCAACGAGGGCAGCGTGTGCCGCGTCCGGAACACCCTTCCGCAGCGGCACAAGTTCACCAATGAGCAGCACCAGCAACAGCAGCAGCTGCAGCAGCTGCACCAACAGCAAATGCACCAACAACAAATGCAGCACCAACAACAACAAATCCAGCACCAACAACAGCAAATGCAGCACCACCAGCAGCAACAAGCGCAGCATCAACAACAACTTCAGCAACAACAACAGCAGCACCACCATCAACAGCAGCCACACCACCAACAGCTGCATCAACTCAATCCCCAACAACAAAGTAATGCCTCACAGACACAAAGCATCTTTCTAGAAAGTGATATCTGGTGATTGCTGAATAAATCAACAACTGATAACCCTAAACTCGAACGACTAATAGAAAGTAACTCGATGAATGCTGTTTTTAATAGTGTACATTTCAAGTTTATTTATATACATGTTGAAATGTATTTTACAGTTTAGGAATATTTGAACATCAGAAACAACAAAACACAGTGGCAAAGTTTTAGTTTTTGATGATAACATAAAACTTTAATTATAGCTAAAAAAAAAACTTAAATTATAGCTAAGAACTATTCCGTCAGCTTTCAAACAATAAAAATCGTATCATAATCGGACCATTCGCTTAGAAGCTACTGTGTCACAGACATACACACAGATACGCAGCCAGACACGTCGTACTTATAACACGCCGCTTTTTACGTCTGGTGTTAAACAATGTTTTTTTTTTTGTGAGAAAGTGGCACACGAGCCGGCGGCTCACCTGATGTTAAGTGATTACCGCCTGCCGATGCGTGCCACCTCTTAAAAAAAGTGGGCCCCGGTTACCTCACTCACCAGACGAAACGCGAGTGCTACACTTCTACTTCACGCACGCCGGCCTTCTGTAAGGTCGTGGTACTAACCCCGACGGACCAAATAAAGTAATCTTAAGAAGAAAAAAAACGTTAGAAGTCATACTTCTTTGGCTGAACAAGATAATAATCTTTACAAATTTTTTTTATCTTTCGCCTTCTACGTTTGTAGAAAAAACGACACTAACAATAGAAAAAAGGTATTTAATACTTCAATGTATTATAACGCTTTATATAGTTAAATAAATTTTATTTAAATAACAAAAAATAAGTATAGTGAATGTAGTATTCAGTTCTCACGCAAACATACGTTGATGTCTAGCTATCTTCAGGGTGTCGGTTTTCCGTGACGGTTCCCTAACGCGCCAAAAGAAGTGTAATTTGAAAAACTTTTTCTGGAAGAGTTTAATCTGCTTTAAGAAATCTTTTTTAAGAAAGAGTTTCCATTGCTATTGCTTTTATGATTGATATTCGTTTGTTCAGGCCACGAGGCGAACATCGCAAGCCTTCAAGAGCTGGCGCAGGAGCTGCGGCTGGAGACGGAGAAGATAATGGGCGAGCGCGCCAGGATCAAGGACATGGTCTCCAATAAGGGTGGGCCTTTTAAACCTTTTTTTTTTGTATCGGGGGGAAACTTTCAAAAGATACCCTCTCACCTTACATGACAGGGTTATGTGGGGTTTTTACCAACTGTACGTTTGGAGGTACAGTAGTTGGTAAAAAGTGTAGGCCCTCGGTACTGGGCGTGAGCACGCCTTGGAGAAGGATAAACCTTCCCCGATTCCCTCGCCATCTTGCAGCAGCTCGAGGCCACTTCGAGCTGCTGCCAATCCGTGTCCCCTTTTAGTCACCTTTTACGACGGGCAGAGGATAGCTTAGCCCTATTCTACAGGGCTGAAGGGTCAGCAGCTAGGTGTGGTAGCTGTAGCAAACTGTGGTAGGGCAACGCATCAGCTTCTGATGTTGCACGCACGAGATGAATGGGCAGGCACGTCCGAAGTACAAAACCTCACGGAAGACCGGCGTGAGGTGGAAGTTGTACCTCTGATTTCGTGCGGCGAGTGAGGTAACCGGGGCCCACTTAATTAAAAGATGGCAGCGCGTCTGCAACCCCACGTGCGTTGAAGGTGTACATAGGCGGCGGTTATTACTCGTCATCTTCTTGCGTAAAATATGTCTCATGAAGCATTATATTAACCCACGTACTATTAAAAAGTCCACAAACAAAAACGTATATTTAAAATCCCACTATACACAAGTCACAATTTAATTTTTACTAAAGTACAAACAAAAGAGTAAAGAAAAGTAGAAAAAAACGTATGCTTAGTATTAAAGAATAAAATACGAAGGAATACGAGCCGTGATAGCCCAGTGTCCGGGCGCTCGCCTTTAATTCAATATATACTCGAGCAACCTGAGTTCGATCCCCGGTGCCGGCACCAATGAAGTTTTTAACTTTAAGTGCTGAATTATCACGTGCTCCGCGGTGAAGGAAAACATCGTGAGGAAACCTGCATATTTTCGAAATAATAACAAAAAAATGTTTTTCTAAGATGTGTGAAGTCCGCCAATCCGCAGTGGGGCCGGGTGGACTATGCACTAGGGGAGGCCTTTGCTCAGCAGTGGGACATGTATAGGCTGTTACTTTACTTTATACGAGTACAAACAGCTTAAATACTAAAAGTTATTGTAAAATATTCACAAAACTAACGTCTTCTAGCATAGGTTCAATTTAACTGTTCGGTGCAACCTTAGACACATTGGTTTCATATTATATCTATGTCAAAAGTAAGCTTAATGCGTGGTAAGTTTGCGAGCCCTCGAGAACTGTAACGGATTTAAAATACTTTTTACTTTTGATCGTCCACTGCTGGCGTCCTATACAACAAGCACAAGGATAAGTCGGCAATTAAAATTGCAATTAACAATTTGTTCGGGATTTGAAGCCAGTTCGCTCGAGTATATTGAATTAAAAGTGACTGTAGCGCACAATCGGCTGTGGTGTAATCCCAAATTGTGGGCGCAGAGGTGAGCCGCAAGCAGAAGAAGGTGAACGAAGAGGCGAGAGAGGTGCGGGAGGCGAGGGAGGCGAGGGAGGCGAGAGAGGCGAGAGAGGCGGGCCCCGGGCCGGCCGAGAGGCGCCAGCTGCAGCTGCGGGCGCTGCTCGCCGACAAGCAGAGGGAGCTCGAGGCGCTGCTCAACAAAGAGGTCTTTTTTTTATTTGTGAAGGTGGCAACCGAGCTGGCGGTTCACCTGATGTGCCCGTCGACATTTGCAACACCCGTGGGATTGCAGATGCGTTGCCAGCTATAGTAAACTGGGCCCCGACTATCTCGCTCGCCGGACTAAACGCAGAAGTTTCACACTTCCACTCCGTCCCGTTCGTGCAACAGCGAGCTGTTCCGTGTCCCCACCACAGTTAATTCAAAAAAATCACGTCAACCAGTCTGCCACAACAAACACACGTTTCTCTCTCTCTGCCCCTCATACACTTACTCTCTCTCCAGTCACATACTGCTCTCTCCCAATCTCTCCTCTCCCCGCTCTCACACTCACAATTGTGAGAATGCACACTCCGCTCGAGTAGAGAACCCCCTTTCTTCTCCAAGTCTTTGGCTACGTCAGGCTAAATTATTATTTTTTTTCTTTTCCAGAAGGTGCTCTGTGCGTCGGACGCTCATAAAAATCCCGACTCGCGAGCAATGTCCGAAGTAAACCAGTCATACAACAGGTGACTTTGAAACTTATTTATTTAAATTGGCCATTAAGGGCGTGTTTGCGAAATCTCGCGGAATCTGCAAAAATAGGGGGTTTTCAGGTACATTTTGCGGCAAAACGAAACGAATATAATGTAAGTAATAATTATCACATATAGATCCCTCCTTCATCTTCAAATGGTAGATAGTTTTTAATCGAAAATTTTGGTTTATAATATTGTAAATGAGAATTTTCGTGACCACTTCACTCAAAATGGACGATATCCTGTTGGGTTTAGGAACATTTTTCTCTTATTTAATAACATATTTTTTTTATTTAAAAATATTTTATGTAAGCCCACATGTTCAACTCAAAAAGGTAGCTACATTACGTATCAAAATTGTTGAAATTAGTTTCAGAAAAAAATAAAGATTAAAATCTATTTCTTTCACATTTATATCTTACGCGTGAATCTTAAGTGATTGACATAAAGGTTATTTTACTGGTCAATTTTTGATTTATTCCACAAAAATATTTAAAGAAATATTAGTCGGCGCTCGGCTGCCGTCATGAGTGGTCACTATGTCGCTTATAAACAGCAGCTCGTGAGGAAAAAGATCGCTGTACGAATACAAAATATTTGTCGTAACAAAGTTGATACTTTACACATCATGTTCGGACTTCGGACTACGAACGACAAAAGTAAACTATAATTCACACTTTGTCATATTTTTACTAGAAATTAGTAGGGGTTAAAAATTCATATTTCGTTACGGACTTGATGGAATGACCTGAAGGTGTACTTCGAGAACTGCTACTGGAACTAACAGACGAGATGACCTATGTGTGTCGAGTTTGGGCTTGTTTTGTTAGGTATGGTGAGACCTTGCCTTCTGATTTGTTGGAGTGACCTGAAGGTGTACTTCGAGAACTGCTACTGGAACTAACAGACGAGATGAGCTATGTGTGTCGAGTTTGGGCTTGTTTTGTTAGGTATGGTGAGACCTTGCCTTCTGACTAGATGGAGTGACCTGAAGGTGTACTTTGAGAACTGCTACTGGAACTAACAGACGAGATGAGCTATGTGTGTCGAATTTGGGCTTGTTTTTAGGTATGATGGTGAGACCTTGCCTTCTGACTAGATGGAGTGACCTGAAGGTGTACTTTGAGAACTGCTACTGGAACTAACAGACGAGATGAGCTATGTGTGTCGAATTTGGACTTGTTTTATTAAGTATGGTGAGACCTTGCCTTCTGACTAGATGGAGTGACCTGAAGGTGTACTTTGAGAACTGCTACTGGAACTAACAGACGAGATGAGCTATGTGTGTCGAATTTGGGCTTGTTTTATTAGGTATGGTGAGACCTTGCCTTCTGACTAGATGGAGTGACCTGAAGGTGTACTTTGAGAACTGCTACTGGAACTAACAGACGAGATGAGCTATGTGTGTCGAGTTTGGGCTTGTTTTGTTAAGTATGGTGAGACCTTGCCTTCTGACTAGATGGAGTGACCTGAAGGTGTACTTTGAGAACTGCTACTGGAACTAACAGACGAGATGAGCTATGTGTGTCGAATTTGGGCTTGTTTTATTAGGTATGGTGAGACCTTGCCTTCTGACTAGATGGAGTGACCTGAAGGTGTACTTCGAGAACTGCTACTGGAACTAACAGACGAGATGAGCTATGTGTGTCGAGTTTAGGGCTTGTTTTGTTAGGTATGGTGAGACCTTGCCTTCTGACTAGATGGAGTGACCTGAAGGTGTACTTTGAGAACTGCTACTGGAACTAACAGACGAGATGAGCTATGTGTGTCGAGTTTGGGCTTTTTTTGTTAGGTATGGTGAGACCTTGCCTTCTGATTTGTTGGAGTGACCTGAAGGTGTACTTTGAGAACTGCTACTGGAACTAACAGACGAGATGAGTTATGTGTATCGAGTTTGGGCTTGTTTTGTTAGGTATGGTGAGATCTTGCCTTCTGACTAGATGGAGTGACCTGAAGGTGTACTTCGAGAACTGCTACTGGAACTAACAACAGACGAGATGAGCTATATGTGTCGAGTTTGGGCTTGTTTTGTGAGTTTTTTTGAGACCTTACCTTTGAAATTGATGTATTGGCATGAAGGTGTAAGAATACAGTAAAAAAGTTATTTAAAATATGGAACTACGTATTCTACATCAATTCTGTGTATAAATATTTGTGAAACATGTTAATATAAAAAAAAAAAATTGAAATTTAGATTATAATTATGAGTCAATAGAGTATAAATATAAGTCAAAGTAAATCACAAGTCAAAGTAATGAATTTTTAATATAAACATTCTACATTACTTAGACATGATTAAATATTTTAAATGTCTAATTTGACAGTGTACAGATTTTAGAATTTTCGTTTAAATTTAAATACTCCGGGAGGCCTATGAAACTATCTGGTATTTTATTATAAATTCTTATTTCCATGCAGCCAAATGTTGGCCAAAAGTACACCACATGTAGAAAAGTTGTATGGATAATTAAAAATACAAGTAATACAAAACAAATTTGCACACCTGCAAATTGTAAGATTTGGCATGTCTAAAAGGTCATTTTTTTGTATGTTTCAATGAATAGGTGTAATAAACATGTACTTCAAAAGTTTCGAACGACAGCTATGTGGCAAACTTTTTGTTTCACGTTTATGACCCCATTTATCGTTTATTGTTTTGTCGTGTTTCGCACTGATCAACTTTTATGATCATGGATTCTGCCTAAAATAATACTTAATTTAAAATAAGTAAGAACGTCTTTAAAATAGGCAAAACACGAAAAAAAAATAGTTATGTAAAAATGTAGTGGGTATCAACTTAAATTATCAAAGACTTATTTTTATGGCACAGTTATCACATACAACATTTATACCTCTTATAACTCAATTGTTGTTTCAGATGCCAAAGCCTAAAACGATAAAATTTTAGCAGGCTACTACTTCGATATAGATAACAAAAATAATTAAATGATAGAGAACTATAAAGAAAAATCACAAAGATCCGACACAGAGCACCCCGACTCCGTGTGGTCTTCCCTATCCCTAGAGTGAACATCAAAAGGCGGAGCCAGAACCTCGTGTCGGAGGTATAAATTGGCCTCGCGGGCTTGCTCCACCCAGGATCGACATAGCGACAGTTCTGCGAAGAGCATGGAAGAGTCAAATTAAAAATGAAACAATATTTTTTTAAGCTATTGCACAGCTTTTATCGCGGGCTTTGAGCGCGGCGAACGAATCAATAAATTCCGTAACGAAAATAAAACCTAACACCACCCACTCCGCCTACCACGCGAGAGGAAAAATTTGATTGTTTTTATGCATTGAATAGGCTCCTAAACCACTGAACAGATTTGAAAATTTCTTTCAATGTCTCGAAGCTACATTATCCCCGGATGACATAGGATATATTAAATTTTCAAAAAACTAGGAATCCTTACTAAAACTTGAATAATGTAAACCAAAGTGTACAAAAATTACCTAAAATATTGTTTGCATCGCGTGCGCTGCTAAAACTATTGATAATTGTATAAAATAATGTACTACGAATTTGCAGAACACATCATTATTTATAAAAAGTGTTGCGACAGTATATGTCTAACTATTATAGTTATGCCACAATAAGTATTCTTTTACTTTAAAATTTTGATTGAAATGCCGCCGCTAGAAAAGGCTCTTTTTTGTGTATCTTGGTATTAATTCTTATAAAAATAAATTACTTTATATTTAAGACTGTTTCAATATCTTTATATAACTTTTTGAATGATTAAATTCGGACATTCCATTCGAAAGATATCACAAGTTTAAAAATGTTAGTATATTGTAATTTAACTATCCAGAGCTTAGTGACTGACTTAGTAGTTCTTATCATTTTTGTAAATAATATAAATTAATTATATATTATTAATTATAATATATATTAATTATTATATTATTAAAATATTATTATTTATTAACATAAATATAAATATCAAAGAAAAAAATACTGCATAATAAAATAATTATAATCGCATAAGTTGATAAAAGATGCTATGCTATAGCTTTACCCCAGCTGAGCCGAGTGCGACAGGTTTTTTTTTTATAAAAATGTTTTTTTAATTTTTACTAGTTTGTTTCCTTCGTTTTATTATTTCATTTTTAGTTTCTAGATACTGGCCCGGCTTCGTACGCCATGCTATTTCCAATTCATTTACAGAAAATTATTTTTTTTAACATTTAGCATGAATATTATTGAATCAGCAAAATGCATTCAGAATACCGTACAAAGTATTTTACTCAATTCGTTAGCGGGTTTTACCTAATTATCTGCCTACATAGCTACCTTCCTACGTATCCTACCATTACCTACCTATCAAGCTATCTACCTACCGCACGCATAATCAAACATGTATAAAACAAGCTTCGTTTACTTCATAAAAATTAATTAAAACATAAAATTAAATTATATACATAATTAATTAAAACGCAAATTATCAACAGCTACGAGCTTTTAAATGAAATTTAATAAATTATACCTAAATATATAAAAAAATATTCAGTTTAAAAACTTGTTGAAAACAAATTTAACGTAAGCTTAAAAAATAAATGACTTCAAATTAAATAAAAGTATCAAGTTGCGTCAGTTACATAAAGTTTCGCTGCTTCGCGCTTGTCGCTGTGTGCGTGAGCCGTGCACGTGTAGTAGTACGCCTCTGTACCTAAAATTGAAGCGCGTGAATTCGTAAACGCGTCCTTAAATTATTTTCATTTATCATTTTCAGTATCGATTCATTACAGACTTTCTAAAAGTAATTTCCCCCTCCCTCCCTCCTCTCTCCAGTTTCTTTATGTCTTTATTTTCCTCTCGCTCTTACTTTTTACAAAATGCGCTGCTTTTTAAAAATATTTAGTTGAAATGCCTCTCGAATTATTTTCATTTATCATTAAATATTGTCAAGTCTCAACAGACTTTCTAAATGTATTGCAGAATAAAAATTCACAATTATTCCCCATCAGCTAGTGACAAGTCCTATATTATAATGTTATTACTAATTTTCCAAGCTTCGAATTTAATTTCACAATCGAATTTAAAAACGATATTGTAATTAAGCAAAATTAAAGAAATAAAAATACGCCCATTATAGAAGTTTAGTCAATTATTTTTAACTTTGCTGATAAATTTATTTTAATTATTAGTACTTTTCTCTGCGCTTAATGAAACTTAATAGGTATAGCTAATGGTCAATAAACTTTTCTGTTAGGATCGAAGTTGAGACATCCAAGTCACGAAGATAACTTTTGTGTACTGATTTTATTGATTTCGTCTGACCACAACCGTTAGGGGGTCGGCGTGATGATTTTCCTACACAAATAAATAAATAATAATTAATTGATTATGAAATCTCCTTCCAGCGAGCAAGAAGAGCCGGAATCTAGATCTGAACAACTTCCTTTGGACTCGCAAAATCTGAGGGACAACGAAAACTATCGGGTATGTGTTTATGATTACTTTTTAATAATAATTGTTAATTAAAGTCACATTTGAATTTCAGATAATAAAATTTTTCGGCGATACCAGTACTCGCGGTTGTGTATTATTTACTAATCTAGCTTTCGCCCTTGGTGTTCGCCCATGTTTTTTTTTGTAATTCTTAGGGTTCTGTACTAAAAGTGTAAAACGGGACCCAAAGTGCTAGTCGAACTCACGCACGAAGGGTTCCGGAAAAGGTATCTATAAAAACGGCAAAAAAAAATCGTGTCTTTTGTATGTATATTTATATGCAACAGAAATACAACATCTATGATGATACAGCCTGTTGACTGACAGACGGACAGACAGACAGAGAGACAGCGGAGTCTTCGTAATAGGCTCCCGTTTTGCCCTTTGGGTACGGAACCCTAAAAATGGACGATAAGTCTCTCTAAATACTTTTCGTCCATATTTTCTACAAATTTTTGATGTTTAATCTCAAGTGCAGAGATTGGCACTATAAATTTTTTAACCATTACGTATCTTCACGCCATTCCAGGGCGGCGGTGAAAGCGCAATTTGCGGACGATCCATAAACACGGTACCATCGCGACTGGAAAGCGCATACGGTAGCGATACGGACAGGTGAGTTTCTGCCATTGTCACTTAACTTAGTGAATATGGCTGTTATAAGCAAAACACTGACCAGCACTGAGCACCAGCTCTGCCCCGTGGTGTCTGCGGGTTCGATTCCCACACCGGCGAGAAACTTCGTATTTTTTCTAAAAAATTTAATGTTTCATGTGCAAAGGTTAGCACTATAAAAATTCAAATTTCTAAAAAGCAATAGCGACATCTCTCGTTCGAAACATCGTTGTACGAAACGATAATCGAAATTGTTTGTATGCTGGAAAGGATATAACAATGGATGCGCCAGGCGTTGCTTCAAATGCTAAAAAAACAATGTAGATAAAGAACGTTGAGAATTTCGTCGGTGTGACAATCATCCATTTAGCTTAGTAGCTAGTTAGTTAGAGAGTCAGGGCTAACGAAAACGTGGGTTCGATTCCCACAGCGGCGAAAACTTTTCGCTCCTTTTTTCTACAAATTTTAACGGTTATAATTCCACGTTGCAGTGCGTCCAGGAACAAGTCGAACCAGCGAAACAGAGCGAGACGTCGCCAGACCCAGGAGCGACAGATCGAGGACAACGTAGGTTACTTTTAATGTGTTTGTTTATAAAACTAATTAAACCTTTAATGGTTTATTTAAACGAAGAGTCGAGTACAAAAACATAGCGTTTTATAATATTGTACACATGTACATAATTATGCAAATTTTATATACATTTGCTTAGCGAACCCTGCAATAGGTTAGTAATCTGTCTCTCTGTGAATGTGTTTAGGATGTGTAAAATTTTATCCTCACACCTCTGAAATAGTCTTTTTATATTGTGTCCATCCTTATTAATATTATAAAGGCGAAAGTTTGTATGTATGTATGGATGTATGTTACTCTTTCACGCAAATACTACTGAATGGATTTTAATGAAACTTTACAATAATATAGCTTATACATCAGAATGAGACGAAGGCTATCATTTATATACATATTTTATGTATATCTGTCTTTCTGTCTGAAAGTTACATCTTCAGCCTATTTTACGCAGATATAGTTGCGGGCAGCAGCTAGTCCACAAAATATTCCATTCCATCCACAAGATCTTAATTTAAATAATAAGGCCTCCCATTGTACAACGCTTATGTAATTGTTATTTTTAATGTATTTTTTACCATCGTATGTGCAATATTAGTAAATAAAGAATATTAATATGTATAATAAAGAATATTCAATGAAACAATTTAACATGAGCACATGCGCGGACCTACCTACAGCGGAGGGCCCAAACCCGAGGGTTCTGGCTAGCGCACCGGTTCTGCGTCTTAATAATAAGCTTTAATAGTCTCGGGACTGAAAGCAAAATCATCAGTTAATACAAGATACAAGAATCAATTTAAATATGAATTTAATAGATAAAGTGTCGAAAGTTTCTTTCTTTAAAGACCTGTAACTTCTGTGAACTTGAATATTGAACAGTGGTATATTAACCGCGATTATACTTGAGCCTCTTCAACATTCCAGACTTCCCAGGTGAACTCGACCGCGCCGAGAGCCGAACCCGCCACCAGCGGTATGGCCCCCACCATCGCGCACAACGGTCAGTAATAGTTTTTTATGGTAATATAATCATTATTTTTACGTGAAAATGGGCGGCGGTTATCACTTAACATCATGTTAACCTCCAGCTCGTTCCTCCTTCTCACATAAGAATAATGTTATTTTTTTTTTTAATGTGAGAAGGTTAAAAGTTGTGAAGCGAGCAGACTGTTCTCCTGATGTTAAGTTATAAGTCATTGCAGATGCTCACCCACCAGGCGAAACGTGAAAGTATTATACTTCCACTTGGTGCCGTTCTTCTTTGTGGCCGTGACGAGCCTGCCCATTCATGCAACAGCAGAAGATGCGTGGCCACAACTACAACAGTGAAAATTAAATAATGTGGAAATAACCATTTATCAATGACGGAATTGTGAAGAATGGGTGGCAAATATCAGCCTTAAAGTCTTCAACGTCATGTCGTCCACTTCACTGCCTTTCATCAAAGCCAATTGTCAATAGATGCACGGAATTTTATTAAACTTTTGTTAACGAAAATATTAACTTTATTTTTCGTCAACAGGCGAAGCACAAAAGCTTTAAGACGGTGTTTTAGTACTTGAATTTTAACAAAAAGAATTAGAGTGTTGCCGCAACCTTCGAGAAATACCTTAATATACATGATGATGTTTCATGACTATTAATTTGTTCAACAGACGCCCCATCGAATATGCCGTACGGTCACCTGCCGCCGCAATGCTGGAACGGCACCAAATCCAATCAGGTAAACGCCAAAAATGACAAATGCACAATGTTTGCAAAGAATTTGTGACATTCTCTAAAATAGCACTACCCACCCAACTAAATCTTTTCTCGGCTTTGGATAGAATTAAAAGAAAACATTTGTTAATAAGAAAAAAAGTTTTAACTTATTATATTGTAATTATAACAATGTTATATTGTAATTAATATACTTGTGAAAAAATGTGAGACTGATTATGCATATGATTTTAACAACGAAGTGACCAAACTTTACCATATGTTTTTGTTTTAAATTAACAGCTGTAACCGTAGTAAAGTATCCCTTCATACAACACATGTATCCGTTGTTATACCTACATGTGTATTCCTTATTATATCTACAATAGTTTCTGTTATTATGTCTACACATGTATCCATCATTATATCTACATGTGTATACGTCATTTTATCTACGCCAGTATACGTTATGTATCCTTTATTATATTACCAACCCTTTCAGTTGTTATATCGATACGTTATTATGTATACCTGTATCCGTTGTTATTTGTACACCTGTATCCATTATTTTATATACACCTGCATCCGTTATAATAATATGTACACCAGTATTCGTTGTCATATCTACACTTGTATCCAATACCGCTTTAGAGATATCGAGGCCCTAGGGCACACAAAAATATGGGGGCCTGATGGAAAGTAAAAGAAGTGAATGAGCAAAACATTTTTCTATTATTATCTTATATTTTTTATTTATTCTATAATCTTCTGTCGGAATATATTATCTAGCAAAAATAAGGAAAATATTGTATAGTTTAAGTGAATACGTAGGCCGTGCGGGGCCCCCGCAAGGGGCCGTTGGCACGGGACTCGTTGTTTTTTATGCGAAAAGTTACCAAGCGAGCAGACGGTTCACGATGGGCATCTGCTACACCCGAGGGTTCCAGATGCGTTGACCTTTCGAAAATCGGTCTCCGGCCGCCTCACTCACCAGACGAAACGCCTAAGTATTATGCATCCACTTGACGCTGGTCTTCCGTGAGGTCGTGGTACTTACCCGGACGGCCGAGGTTGCTGCGTGGCCCCACCTAGTGTGCGCCTATTGTGAAGACCGTACAGCCTGTATCCTCGATGCTGCTATCCAAGCGTTCCTCCACCCGCCGCAGGACGCGCGCAGCAACCAGTTCACGCAGAACAGCCACTCGCAGACGATGGAGCGGCTGATGGCGACGCCGCAGCTGCCCTTCCCGCCGGCGCTGCCCTACGGCATGGTGCTGCCCTACGGTGAGCTCGGCGCGCGCCTCCCGCTACTTCATAAGACCGAACGAATCCGTTGGAAGTTATTGTGTCCGTCATTGGGATTACGTTTAACTAGATTCATTCGGCCTTTTGAAGCAAGCCATCGAAGTGAAAGTCAAATAGTAGTACGGCCGTCGTAATGTAGGACCTTTTTTACCATTTTTTTAATGTGGATGCTAGGTATACATATACATCTTAACAAAACTTGCATAAATATTGAGGGTAAAATCAACTTCTTTTTAAAATAGCCATCCAATAGCTTGCATGACATGGCTAACGTAAATGTTCTGTCTTAAATGTAATACATAATTCTGTCTTTTCGGTAGATGGCGTTGTAATTAGTTTCGATAACTCTGAAACCATTTTACCCCTGGTACTGCAGTTACATATTATTGCAGTTGAATTTAGAATTGTTGTTTATGAAATCTGTCGTAACCCTAGCTTTATTTCCGTATTGAAGAAGTAGTTTCTAAATTGTTTTTTTATCTGCTGCCCTTATTCCACGTAGTGGATTTGCTACAATGTGTGAATCATCGTGTAAATGATATTGGCTAGGTGTTTCATGACTGGCTTGCTTTGAAACAAATCCCCAAAATCGTAACAATTATCTGTAGGGATTACAAATATTTGCCTCATATGTGAGGAACCACCACGCAATAATCCCGCTTACGACGCAGTAACTTCGCTCGCGAAACGCAGCAGTCTGGCTCGCGAAACGCAGCAGTCTGGCTCGCGAAACGCAGCAGTCTGGCTCGCGAAACGCAGCAGTCTGGCTCGCGAAACGCAGCAGTCTCGCTCGCGCAACGCAGCAGTCTCGCTCGCGAAACACATGGTGTGGTATTGCGGCCGCAGGTCTGTTGGGGGCTGGCGGCGGGTGCGGCTGCGCGGCCTGGGGCGCCTGGTGCTGGCAGCAGCTGGCCCTGCAGCAGGCGGACATACACCGCCTCAGGGACCAGCTGGCGCACGTACGTAACCGTCCCGCCCTCCTCCGCTCGGACGGTAGACACCCGTTCGACCCGTATTTTGATAGCCGTGATAGCTCATTGTCCGGGCGCTCGCTTTCGATTCCATGTACGCGAGCAACCTGAGTTCGATCCCCAGGGATCTATCGCTATCACGATTTATCACGTGCTCATCATGAAAGAAAATATCGTGATAAAAGATGGGAACCTGCATATTTTCAAAATAATGGTGGTGGCCTATGCCTTAATACCCTCTGTGCAGAGGACTTTGCCCAGCAGTGGGGCATATATAGGCTGTTACTACACTTTCACTCATATATTGTTCTAAAAATATCGATTTTAGAGAAAATTTATTAACTTTTTTTTTTTACCATTCATTATGACAAGGGTTGATTAGTAGAGATTGATTAGCCTTTAGCTAAAGCGGTGGCAATGAAGTTTTAATAAACGACACGCTCGTTTCCAGTTAGAAGAACGCTGGCGCGCCGAAACCGCTTCCCACACGCTGAACAACCAGGTGCCCCCCGGCAACCGAGCTAACAACTACTGGGACAACTTTAGAAGGCAAGTACATTCAGCTCGATCGGTCAGATCAACCCCTTTCTAAATTGCCACATGGTTTATAATATATTGTTTTTCTCATTTCAGATATTAGAAAAAGCAAAATAACATACTTATTAAGCAATAGTTGTAGTATATGTATTTTATGTTATATATTTATCACCGCAGTTCACATAAACACGGGTGAGCGTTGTGTGAGTGTGTACCTACCTACCCTTACAGCTTATATATTATTCTTCTTATGTATACAATTTTGCTCCTAACCGAATAGCAGATTTTTATATACTCCCATATATATTTAACTATTGGCTTTCTACAAATATATACTTTTCTACTAACATAGATAAACTGTGTAAATGAGTCTCATTTAAAGTTGACGCCCGTTGGTTGCAGCTACTCCCGCCAGAACCTGCTGTCGGCCAACAGCAAAACGAACGCGGACGGGCACTTGGGCTCCAGCGGAGCGCACAACCCCCACCCGCTGGTGGAGCGCTCGCACAACACGCTGCACCACACCTCCACCTCCACCTCGCCCTCCGTCACCCCCAAGAGGAACAGCAACGCCGCCGGCCCGGCGCAGCCGCCGGCCGCCCCGCCCCCTCAGGCCAACAACGAGGACCCACCCAACAGGCACCGGAACGTCACCTACGAGAGGTCCCTCTCCTTCTCCTCCGCCCCGGACGTGCTCAACGTGAACCAGAACAGCGAATCGGAGACCGCCCCCCACCCGAGGAACGTCGACGACGCCGCCGCCCCCAACGTGAACCTCAACCGGCAGGAGGCGGCCGCCAACTTCCGCAACCTGAACATAACCAACCCCATACCGGAAATAATACAGTCGCACGCGAACAACCTGAACAACACCGCGAACAGCAAGAGGAAGTCCTCGACGAAGCTGCCGGCTAAGAACTCGACCAACAGACGCAACTGCTCGTCGCTCGACTTCTCGCAGACGAGCAACGTCAACATAGCCGGCACGTCGGAAGCGCCCAACCCCAACCTGGCCTCGACCAGCCGCGAGGTCCAGGAGAAGGCCACCTCGAAGCTGTTCGATCTATTGAGGGAGAACGTCTACTCCGAAGTGACGACCCTGATTGGGGTCAACGAGTCCCATCCGGACTTCCTCATACAGCTATTCAGGGAGCTGCAGCTGATCAGCTCGGATCCGCTGCGCCAGAAAGTGCTGCAGTCCATTCGCAACGTGCTCCATTCGTACAGCTCAATCGTCGAAAACCAACGCAACGACGACGGGGAGGAGTGCGACGCGGACGCCGTCACCACCACGTCCGACGACGCGGCGAACTACCACGGTTGCAACTCCCACTCGGTGCAGAGCGCGATGCAGATCGACAACAAGATCGTTCGCTTCCTGCTAATAAAGAGCGACGAGATATTCACCTCGGAACTGCTCGAGGCACTGGCGTCGCTCATAATTAGCAGCGCGACGGACTGCAAGCAGCCGAAGAAGAGGCTCCTGGAACTGCTGTCGAAATATGAGGGGATGCGTGTCTGTGATATATCCGGCGACATCATCGAGAGCCTCCCACTCTTCATATCGGGGAGCAGCGAAGGCGACGACTCCGCCCACCTCACCAGCGAGATGTCCGAATCCTCCATCCTCCAGGACGTGGCCGGCTCCCTCAACCTGTTCAGCTCCAGCGAGACGCAACTGCACCAGCTCAACGGCTGCCCGTACGACATGTGGCCTGCCCACGCCCACGCCCACGCCCACGTGCACGTGGACCTGGACGGCGCAGACTCGAACGGGGCTCGGAGCCAAGAGGGCAAAGTGGACCTGATCGACTGTTCAGAGATGAACAACGGCGACTTGGCCGAAGCGGACCAAAGCTGCCACGCAGACGTCGCAGAAATCGGCGCGAATAGCAACGACGAGGTGTCGAACAACGCGGAGGGCCTGCCCGATGTCGTGGACACTGACGAAGTCACCCCGACAGAGGTAATGCAACACGTTCTGTACTGTAGATGTCTCCCTCTAATTAATTGTTCTAACAGAAACTAGGGACAGCCTCACACTATTGTGTTAATACTTTTACTCATTGTAACTGATTGAACATGGAAAACTTGTCTGAACTGCACTGTGTCGATTTTTATAATTTGTTATATTGTATACAAATGCCGATTTGCCGAAAATGTAATATTCAAATACAATAAAAACAAATACGTATAATGCATTTTTTTCTTTGATGTTCCATTTACTGTTTATTTCAAGAGGTTGAAAGTAAAAAAAATAAAACATTAAAAGTAAGAAGGTTAAAATGAAAGTACAAATTGTTTTGCATATAATTATTTCATTTAAAATCTAATCAGGTACAATATTAAATGCAATGTACAATTATCCTATATATACAAGGCTTACATAAATTTCTAAAATAAATATATTATGCCATATATTTAAATATAGATTTAATTTGCAGAATGTAAAGTGTTGATATGTTTATATTAAAGGCGGAAGCAGAGTGGCTCGGGCTTGACCGTGTGCCAACAAGGCTGCACACAGAAGAATCATCTGAAAAGCAAAAAGGTGATATTAATATTGAATAAAAGTGGAGCATACACCTAAACTTGGAACCTTCTTTGGTCCAATTATGTCTAGGTGAATCCTGAAAAAAAAATGTTATTTTATTAGATCTTCATCGGCATCTGTAACAGAAAATAAATAAATGCATATTAATTAAAATTTGTTTTCCTTGCAGATTAAATACTCGAGGTTTCAGAAATTGCCGGAATATTTTTTGTTAAAATTTCAATTTTCCTATAAACTTTAAAATGCTGTCAATGTTTACATTTTGTATTGATTCATTTATGTAATATTTATTTAATGCAATAAACATTACATCATACATACAATAAATGTTGCATTTTTTGTTATATAAATAAAAAGCATCCCTTTTCCTATGTGCTTTATTGTTAATCACTAAAGATTTGTAAAAAAATTTCAACATAAACTTAGAGTAACCCTTAGAGTTTTGTTAAATCTTTCCAATATAGTTTGTCACACTATCACTAATATTATTCACAGACACGGCAAAGGTGAAACACATGTCCTCCATGAAGATTCCAATAAAGGTTTTCCAACAAGTCTTCAGAGCTTGAATCCAATCTTGAGCTCTCAGTTGTCTCAGGTACAATTAATTTTTCTCTTTGTACTTCTGCAGATAAAATGGACATTTTGAATTAATTTTTGTTGCTCATCAACTGCTTAGAGATTTTAATTAAATTATATCATATGGACCATGAGACAACGAGATATATCTGGATTGTTGTGGGTTGGACGTAGTAAACAGGGGTTGTGGTTCGAGGTTGATGGCACCATACCCTCTGAAATAAAGTCGAATTTCATCACTTGGTGTATTAAGTGTGAAAGGGAAGTCTCTCACAAAGTTTTGTTGCCTTTTCCAATACTTAATAATAAAAATAGACTTGTAATGTTCCCATTCCTATAAAATATGACAATTCGTGTGTAGGAACAAGATGTCATCCAGATAAATTATAGATATAAATAAATAGTTAATTCAAATACTTAATTATTAAAAAATTCATTATTAAATAAAGTATTATAATAATAAAAATGTATGCAAAATGGTAACAGTCACATTTTGACATGAAATTGGGGAACAATACAATTACATTATAAATCTTTAACTATTTTTTATGAATAACTTTAACTTTAACTATATTATACATATGTTCTAAATTAAAAAAAAATACTGTTAATCACTTACTTTAACTAGCTGTAAAATTTCTTTAAACAAAAAAAGTCTTTTAAATTGTAATACTAATCATAAAATTATAAACTAACATTTTAGATTACCCTTCATTTAAGTAGTGTCACTAGTAGAATTACATATTTTGTAGGTATTTATTACCCTCAAACTCACTCACATGAAGTTTAAACAAAATTCTCTGCAAGAAATTAATAAATTGGACATTAAAAATTGAAACATTCCCCTGATTACTGTAAACTAATATTTTGCTCCAATTACCCCTCTTTAAAATCCAATTAAAATATAATTAGAATTTATAGAACATTCAAAGTTATGTGCTAATTAAAATATACAGTTATAAATGGGTTCCACATAAAACAAGTTGTGGCTAACTTGATCATTGAACATATTTTTTACAAAACGAAAACACATGCTGAGACCGATTAAGACAATTTCTTCATCTTTCTTCATTAATGAACTGCCTTTGTATGGTTTGGAATATGGTTTGTATTGTGTATACACACACAATACAAAACATGATGACTGAAACTTATTGGTTTAATTTGTAACAAAAATAATATACAACTCTCCTAAACATTTAGAAAAAAAATGCATAATAAGATGTAAAAATCTATCTAATCTATTATTTATACAACAGAATTAAAAAATAATAATTATAACTTCAATTTTATACTAATTGTAAGTATTATTGACTGTATTAAATATTAAAAAAATATGGATATGAGATTTAATTTGAAACTAATATTGATATATTCAGTTACTTTTTTTGTCTATCATTATGATAAAAACACGACAATTTAATATTTTTATTTCCAGGAACACAACAAAGTATAACAATTTTCTATAAGGTCTTGTACTAGTAGTAAGTGTCGAGGGTATTGTTTTAGTTTAATTTTTTTTTCACATGACATTTTATGTATGTAGGTGATAGTCATGTTTAAATATCACCCGATATACATATATGAACATCAGTTTAGGATATTATGACATCAAATATGCTTTACAATATAAAATATATGCACAAGTTTTCTATGTACCAAATGAAAGTATTTTATGTACTTAGCATACTATCAGTAGCATCTGAAAAATGTTGAATGTTGTTGTTAAAAGTATTTGATATTTATAAATGATCAATTATATACAAGCAGTCTCCATATATAATAAATCATTACAAAAAAACCTTAAGTCAACCAAAACTTAAATTAGTACAATACATAAGAGACCTTAGTTTAACTTATGCAAACCTATTTCTTAAATATAAAAATGAAATGCACTCAACTTACCTTGCACTGAGAGAAAATTTAATCCATACACCATCTTTTTCTTGCAATCACTTTTTTAATTTAAGTTCATACTTATTAATAACCCAATATGAATTGGCCATGCCAAACTTAATTTTGGCTAAAAAGTTAGGGCAAGGCACTGCACAGTAGAAAATAGAAGTTGTGCACAGGAGTCAAACCGAGGTTCATAACCCACTCATTCCCCATATAATTATTTATGTGGCAGCATGCATGGTGCTTTCATATGCTGGACAATTTTGAATGCTTCTGCGCAAGCAAAGTTTAACCTCAATTTATTGTTCCTGATTATTTTTGGTAGTCTTTCTTCTTGTTCGCCATACTAGTTTGTTGTTCTAGTTATGTTCACAAATGTAAGACAAGTCTGAGTAACTATAGTAGAATTTACCATTACAGAAAACTGTACTAGAACTGTGCATGTAGTTTTCACAAATTTTATAGGTCTTAAAAAACTCTCAATGCAACAGGTTTATCAAGTGCATTTATAAATAAAATTCTATACGAATTCCTAATATGTTTCTTTTAATAAGAAACTGCAACAAAACTTTATGCAATAACAATGTTTGTGCAAATTTTAACATTCTTAAACGTGAGACTTCCCAAAGCACGAAATTATAGCTAAGCCACTACACTATATTCCTGCTGCATTGTTTAAAAACATGTGACACTGTTCTAGATTGTCTGATAATAAAACATGTGTAATATTAATTACGTATGGAACATTTATTTTACGAAACCTCATTGAATTAAAATAAATATAACCATGACTCATAGAAACGTCTCTGGTCGCCCTTAAAACATGATTCAATGAGAATTCGTAAAGATATTTATTTCAATAATTACCTTCTCGCAACCGCTTGCTTTGAGGATAGGCATAATAGTCAGCACATCGCTTCCTTGCATTTTTTGGTGAAGACTCAACTTCATTGTTTTGTGAAACTTCTTTCATTTCACAATCAGTATTCTCGTAAACGTTTCCGGAACTTTTTGTGTCATGATAACCATAGTAACAATTTCTTGAAACATGAATATTTTGACAGTGACCCATTATCTGGTTAGGAGTATTGTTATTGCAAATTGGCGCAGGTCGCATAGCGTTGAAATTGGTTTTGGCGTCCTGGATGTTAAAGAAGTCAATGCTGCTTGCTGGCATTTCTTGTATTTTGTTGACGTCTGTGATTTTGAATCTTCGCTTGAGTAGATTTGAGCTTATGGGCTTAGATATATATTCTTTATTCACAAATTCGGAGATAAATATCCTTTTAGCAGTTATTAATATAACTTGCACTTTGGATAACCTCGACAAAACTCAGTCAGCGCCTCACTGCTCCTTGTTTTCGTTAGATTCTGCAATCATTCAAAAACGCAAACAACGTTGTACGATCTAATACACTATCTATGACACTACATCACAGACCACACCACATATTATAATCCAAGGAGTGAACTAAACGTAGATTAAAAAAAAACTGTTAAGAAAATAACATGATACAAGGACCAGTTCATGCTAACTATAACGGTATCTATTGAATTTGATTGTTTGTGTATCTCTTTCAGTTTCAGTATACAGAAGTTACAAAAATACCCCTAGAGCCGCAAAGATCCCTTGTATGGAGTCTAATGCTAATATTTGAAAACGGTACTACAACATAGCTACACTCCGTAATGATAACATTTACACAAATATTTTATGTTGCTATCGGCAGTCAAAGACCTTACACTTACTAACTCTTAAGTTTGTAAGTATAAGATCTTTGTCTGGAGTGCACTTTTTTGGTGATCTTTGACAATTCGAAGTCATTGACACACATAGTATGACCCAAAAAGAAAAAAAGTGTGTGTGTACTTATGTCATCATCATCATCATCATTTCAGCCTGTTTGAGTCCACTGCTTAACATAGGACTCCCCCACAGACTGCCATGAAGTACGATCCTGAGCCACTTGCATCCATCGACTTCCCGCACATTTGCACAGGTCGTCACTCTATCTAGTGGGGGGTCGTCATACACTGCGATGGCCAGTACGAGGCTGCCACTCGAGAACTTTTCTTCCCCTTTACAACATAGCATATTTTCATAAATCGAAAAGATTCATCATTCGAAAAGACGCTCACACGTTCTTATGAAACAGGCAGTTTCTAAAAGTTGAGAAGAGACCGGCGAGAAACTCAACAGTTGCTCTTTTTTTTTAAAAAGATCAGATTACAATATAACATATTATTTAAAATAATATTCTTATTTTAGCCTACGTGTGTCTCCGATCCCTAGGCGCTAGTTTATGAATGCCGAAGCCGAAAGTGAAAAAAATTATTGATATATCAAGAAAAAATATCGATATTTCATTTTTAATACCCCTTGTCCAAAAATAAACGTATGTAACTACTAAATATTTGAGTCTACGGACAAAATTTTTTTTTTTTAAATGTTGATTTTGATAGTGAATATTTTCTAACGAAATATCAGATCAAAATATATCGGCTAAAATATCAATATATTTTATCAAAAATAACGATATAACGATATTTTTTCGACATCACTAGTTTGAACTATAGTTAAACTTAAAGTTAATTAGTAACTAATAAAACAATTAAAATTAATTAATCAAGATCAACCAAGTCAAGCGAGATAAACAACATCGAAAAATGTTCGGTTTGATGCTTTGATGTGAAGTTTTTGAAAGAACTGTAAAGAATACATTATTTATAACATCTGCAAAGCAGCTAACTTTGTTAATTACTTTATTACAAATAAAAATGTCTGAAATTTACAAGTTAGTAATAATATTTCAAATAACCTCGAAAAATTACTCTTCTCTTTCTAAAGTTACTTGTATTTACAGACTCATTCATCCAGTTAAATATTTTAATGATTATATATCACGCAACGTTCGGCCAGACGGTAGGAACTTCTACGAACATCGAAATATAAAGTTAAATGTTAATTCAATTCAAGCTGCAGAAGCAAGCGCAGTTGTAAAATGTGGAAATACTACAGTTATTTGTGGTATTAAATTGGTAACAGTTTCAATTCTTTTTTTAAATATATTTGGATGTCATAGGTAGGTTAGGTATTACAGTATATTAATTTTGTATCAAAATATGTAATATTTCAGGAGCTGGCTACGCCAAAAGCTGAAGATCCTGATGCTGGGTTTTTGGTCACTAATGTCGAATTACTTCCTTTATGTTCCTCAAAGTTCAGACCAGGCCCACCTTCAGACTATGCACAAGTTATTAGTAACATAGTATCTGATATAGTTATTAACTCTCAATGTGTTGATCTTAAAGACCTTTGCATAATTTCTGATAAATTTGCCTGGGTTTTGTATTGTGATATTGTCTGTATAGATAATGATGGCAGTCTAGTAGACGCTTGTATAATGGCACTAATTTCAAGCCTCAAGACATGTAAGCTTACTTTTATTTCTAATAACCCCCTTAATAAACTTCATTTCTGTTCTGATTTTTCACTAATAATTTGTATAATTTTAGTATCACTTCCAACTGTGTCATATGATGAAGAAACTGAGAATATAAAAGTTGATACTAAAGTGAGAACACCATTAAAGGTAAATGGTTTACCAGTTGCAACAAGTTTTGCAATATTTCCATTTTTTGAAAGGTACGATATTAAGTTCTAAATATAAATTAAAATTAGAATTTCAGGAAACTTTAACAAAAAAAAAATATTTCGAAAACTTATTTGGAATTTCTCATAAAACTTCTACTGTAGATAGTACTGAAAATTGAAAAAAGTAATTTCCAAGTTGTATCAGTTTCAGTAAAAAAGTTGTTAAAAGTTTAAGAAAAAGTTAAAAGTTTAAATTAAGCTTAAGGCTTGTCTTTATTTCAGGAGTATTTTGTTAACTGACCCATCGGCTTATGAAGAAGATATGTGTGGGGGAAATGGTGCCAATTTCATAGTGTGTTGGAACAAAGGATTTCTCTGTGGAACACATAAATTTGGGGGCAGCAGTCTTTCTATTGAAGATGAAAAAGAGGCCCTAAAAATAGCTAAACAAAGAACACAGCTTGTAGAGAAACTAATTGATATATGTATACAAAATGAAAATATAGAGCAATAATTGTATCCCTTTATCTCAAAAATATCCCTCTAGCTGAATGTTTATACTGCAACTTGGCAGAAAACCAAAGTAGAATTACTCGAAACATGATCAATTAAACTATAGTCATAATTTCAGTATGAGTTCATCTAACCATTTCTTTACTAAAACAACTAATCACACCCTTTTCTATCCATTGGAGACTGCCTAGTGCCTGACTTCATCCCAACTGACCGTAAGTAGCGATGCAACCATAAATGGTTATCGCACTATTGGTAAAAGCCTATTCAAGATTAACTTTAAGACATGTTGTGTTCAGTTTGAACGATAGATGCCGGCAAACTGTTCCATTTCTTTGCTATATATGTAATGAATACTTCACAGTAAAACTTTTAGTTCAAGTGCATAGAATGTTGACGACAAAAGGGTGGAACTGCTGACCGGCTGGGCGACCGAAAGTGGAAAGAGGTGGGAGGAAATACTCTTGCGATAAATACTCCAAACTGCAATTTATAGAAAACAGACAGTGTGTAGTGTGGCTCCACGGATACGTCAGTGATTTTAAGAGAGTGTGTATTGAACTGACACTAAATTAAAGTTAAAAATCAAATTTAATATATACAGAGCATATCAACATTCTATTATGAAATAAGTGAGCGTCTGTTTTATCGCATATCCCCGCCAAGTACTTGAAATCTTTTCGAATAATTAAAAATCGATTTATTCCTTCCATGGTACTTTTATGTGGTACATAAATTCCACATATGGAACCCAGAATTGTATCGCGTCATTAAAGTAGCGTCAGTAAGACATTTTAAACTAATCTATAGTCAATCAAATCTGTTCACTAAACCTTTCGATATCAAACCCGCACTCCCTTCAACTGTGCATCCGAGACAACGCCGTAATATACACGTAGATGATGCCGGCAATGAATTAATATTATACAACTATCCCGCCGCCGTTCAACACCAGGTCGCACCGCACTTAGCGCGACACACGGTATTCACTCTTATACATAGGTACAGCTGGCTCAGTGCGTTCACCGGCAAACGTGAAGTCCCGGCTTCACAGGCAACTCTCGATACCACGTGTCCTAAGCAGGTTGCATTGGTGGTTTGTAAGCATTTAATGTAGCTGCTGGAGGTGTTTTCGAATTTTTCTTGACTTTCTTTTTAGGTAGAAAATCTATAATTTTTTATCCCTGCAGTTAACCTAGGAACATTAATATTGCGCAAGAGATTGGCAATCCAATTCCTAAGTAATCAACATGTGCAGGAAAGCTACGCACTGTTGTGGTTTTAGTTAATAATCACGTGATAATACAAAATAATGATGACTTTTATCTTTCCTTGGGCGCGCCTCTGATCTACGACAAGGCACAAGTCGCCGGTCATGTTCTCGCATTAGCGTATTATATTACAACTAAAATGTGAAAAGGAATAAAGAAATTTAATTTTTTATAGTGCTAATCTCTGCACTTAAAATAAAACATTAAAATTTGTAGAAAAAATACGAAAAGATTGTCACCGCTGCGGGAATCGAACTCACTTCTTCGACAATCACGGCCTGACGCTTTAGCCACTAAGCTAAACTCCTGATTGCCACACCGACGAAAAACAATAAAGAACAAAATTTCAATTAAGTAACACATTAATTGATTTACAAATAAAAAATGCACATTAGGCCTTTTACCGCTCTGGAAATCATGTTAAAGTGTGAGGCACTAATATGATTTTCAGAATCTTTTGTCATAAATAATAGCTTAATTTCGACATCATAAGTTTTCGTACCCGTTCTATTAAGTATAACTAAGTATATTATTTTGATAATAGCGAGTGTACATTCGATTGTTCACTCTACCTAATTAATTAAGAATCTTGTAACTTTCGAAGATAGATGGTTGTCGTAATATAGATTATTTTAATCCTCGTAATCTAATTATTATTGTAATCTGATATTCGAAAGCGGTCGATGGACGTTATTACGTCTGTCGTGATTAGATTGCAATTTCAACCTTATTATATTCTCTAGATGTTTTGACTATCGATCGCAGTCAAAGCCAAAGTTTAATTCAAACCTCAGAACCAAATACAAATCTGACAAGTCCTTTAGTCTAATATTGTTTTGCATCTTTCGTTAACAGGAGTAGCGGAGAGCCGTGCACCAGCTAAGATATTTGTCTATCTGCGGAACTATTTCGACGAAAAGGTAAAATTATCTCATGAGCTAAAATTAAAGTACAAAAAAAAATATTAATGGTACATAAACATTATTTTTGTTTTCCCAACTATCGCTCCACTGATACGTCAGTGATTTTGCCAACAACTTGGTACTTGGAGATCGATTAGGCTAAGGACATGACAATAATAACCTACTGTATTAAACCACTTTCAGTTGCATACCTGTAAAGAAAACACCTTATTAGTAATTAGTAATATGGTCATTAGTCATCGGACATCAGCCATACATAAATAAAGAGAAAGAAAAAGGAACAAAAAAAAGGAACAGGAACAAAAAAAGGCGAAAAACAAAAATCTTATAAACCAGCTTAAAGCCGTATATTGTTAATTTCTATAAATCTAACTAGAGTTTTAATGAATGGGGCATAGACAAGAGTTAACAAACAACTAACATTCACAGGACGTACAATAGTGGGTGGGAGTAGATCATATAGAGGGACTGATAACATAGGACAACTAAAGAATAAATGATCAAGAGTACCCTCATCTAACCCGCATTCACACAAAGACGTATTTCGAATATGCAGTTTAGCCAGAAACACCGGTGAACATACATGGCCTAGTCTGAGCCTGATGATAATAGATGTAGTCTTTTTGTGATAGCATCTATATCTAAAGAACCAAGGTTTGGTAGGTATAAAAGGATGAATTAGACTGTAATATTTACACCTTTCACGTCCAATCGCCCGCCACATGTCACCCCAAATCCTTATCATATTATGTTTGGCAGAGAGACGCAGATCACGCACAAAACATTTATTATACTTAGGGATTCCGAGCTGAATTGCTTCTTTGGCACAGCAATCTGCTTTTTCATTTCCAAGAATGCCGCAGTGACTTGGAATCCATGCTAAAACTACTTGTAGACCAGCACAGTAGCATTTATATAATGCTTGCTTAATTTTTAGGGTTAAGAAAAAGTTATCTTTAGAGTGAAATGGGAGCTTCAAGATATCTTGTAAGCAACTATATGAATCAGAGAAAATTATAGATCTATTTAGTTGATGGGATTCAATATAAGATACAGCTTCTAAAATAGCTATTGCCTCTCCACTAAAAACAGAACATTGAGGAGGGCATTTAAAGTTCAATATAATTTTGTACCTAGGTAACCAGACAGCAGCACCCACATCTACACCATCATTCAACTTTGAGGCATCTGTGTAAAATGTCATCCAGCCATTAAACTCAGTTTCAAGAATTCTATTAAATTGGATATGGACATTGGGTGAGTTCTTATCTATACCCATCGATAGAATAACCCTAGGCCTATAAACTAGCGCCTCATAATCTACCATAAAAATTGGGTATTTTACAATTTTGAAAACTGGATTAGAAAGGTTCTTTATTTTTCGGTATGACTTAATAAGCAGAGGCAAGTCCTTATGTTTCCAGTAAACAGAAGTAGTTGCTAACTGGGACAAGGAATGTAAGATTTTTAAAAGGGGATGATAGCTGTATTGAACTATATTGCGACGTAGATGAAGGGGAGGTTCTAGACATTCAACTTGTAACGCCAAATTCGGAGAGGATTTCATGGCACCAGTGATGATGCGCAGACATTTATATTGAATTTTCTGAAGTTTGTTTAGTGCATTCTTATTGCAAGGTTCTAACAAAAAAGAACCATAATCGAAATGTGATCTGACAATGGCATTATATAATAATTTTTGATTATAAGGATGTGATCCCAATGGACACCTGATAAAGATCTCAAAATATTTACACCTTTTTCACACTTATTACTAACATAGTTGAGATGATGTACGCCAGACAATTTAGAATCTAATATAACGCCTAAAAATTTTACTTGGTCTAGTACAGCTACAGGATGTCTATCAATAAACAAATTAATGCTTGGAACATGGCGCTTTCTCGTGAATACCACCGCATTGCATTTAGAAACTGATAAAGATAAACCTTGATTGTCAAGCCAATCACTCAAATATGCTAATGCAGAGTTAATTTTGCCAGCAGCATCATTTAATGAAGATGATACGGCGTACAGAACAATGTCATCAGCATATTGTAAAATTTTACAATAGGGTGAAACGGAGTGGTCTAGATCATAAGTGTACACATTATACAATAGAGGACTGAGTACAGAGCCCTGGGGTAACCCCTTCCACACCAATCTAGATGTTTGAATTGATCCATTAGCACGGACAGAAATAGAACGACCACTATATAGATTAGATATAAAATTGACCAGTCTCTCAGGGATACTCAGTTGAAGCTTTATGCCTGAGTATTGGAATCTGGACATTATCGTAGGCAGAAGTAACATCCAAGAAAGCGCCAATAACATGCTGGCTATTACTGAAAGCCTGACGGATACTGGAGACAAAGATACTTAAACTATCCAGTGTACCCATACCCCTCCTGAAGCCAAATTGATAATTGGATAATATACCCCTATTCTCTAGAACCCACTCTAATCGGTTTTTAATTAAGTGTTCCATAATTTTACATAAGGTAGAAGACAGAGCTATAGGGCGATATGATGAGGCTTCTTCTGGATCTTTGCCTGGTTTAAGAATAGGTATGATAATTTGGGTTTTCCAGGAGTCAGGTATACTGCAGGATAAGAAAATAGTATTAATGATTTTAAGAAATAAAAGGTGAGTAGATTTGCTTGACTTGATAATAAAAGAATAGGGAATTCCATCTATGCCTGGTGAAGAGTCACGAAGATGGTCCAGGGAACAAAGCAGTTCAAGATAGGAAAATTCATCATTCATTTTATCTGGATATATAAAAGAATGAGAATAATCCGTAGGAAGGGAGTCACGGAACGGAACATAAGGAGGAGATAATTTACTAATAAAGTTTGGTAACCAACTATATGTGTGATGATAAGCAAGACATGAAAAATTATTTTCACAAGACCTGCGAAAAGATTTTATACGTTTCCACACCAAGGATGGAGAAGAACGTGGGGACAGAGATTCGCAAAACCTCTGCCAACCTATTTTTTTTTTGCTAAGCAATCTTTTGGTTTGTGCACAAGCCTTACGATAAAGTAAATAATTATCCATTGTTAGATTTGAAACATATTTGCTTTCAGCTTCGTTGCGATACTGAACACTGATAGTACAATCCCTGTCGCACCAGGGGGGAGAGCGAAGGCGTTTAAGAGAAGTGTTTTTATTGGGGATGGCGAGGTCAGCTGAACTTAGTAGAGAAGTGACAAAATAATTGTAAATGTCATGTAAATTAGACTGGGATAAGGATGTATTGGGGGGAAGAGATGCAAGTTTTTGATCCATTAACTGTGAAAACTTGTTCCAGTCTGCTAAATGAAGTCTGTACTTCAACAGAGGGATTTGATTGACTGTTGGAGGAATAGCTTTACATAAATTTAATACTATGGGGAAGTGATCACTACCATAGGAGTTAGGCAGAACCATCCAATTAATTGAAGATGCCAGAATAGTTGAAGAAAGAGACAAATCAATAGCCGAGGGATTCTGTAATGGAGAAACTCTCCTTGTAGGTGACCCATCATTTAATAAACAAAGATTTAAATTGTCCAGCATATCTATGATAAAGTGAGATGAAATGTCACAAGCGAGGGAGCCCCACAAAGTATGCTTACAATTAAAATCTCCCATCACTAAGAGAGGAGCAGGAAGAGAGGAAAGGATAGAGCTTAAGTTTGAAATGATGTTAGGATTGGGGTGGGGAATGTAAACAGAAACAAATGATATGTCATTAATTCTAGAGGCAACAATATGGAATTCTGGGGGATGAGAGGGAATACGGAGCTTGGTAAAGGGAATGGGTCTTTTAATAAAAAGAGCACACCCAGCCCAACCATCATCCCTATCATCCCGCAGACAAGAGTAGCCTGAGAGCCTAAAAATGGAACGAGGCCTCAACCAAGTCTCTGCAATAGCGCAAACTACAGGGTTATATTTGTTAGCTAAAAATATTAGATCAGCCTTTTTATGACGAACATTCCTACAGTTCCATTGAAGGATAGGATGTTGAATGTTACGGTTTTTTTTAATTATGGTTTCTAAGAGCTGTTCTAATAAGGGCAAGACATTGTTCGGTAGTGAATCACTAAATTTTGATACCATGTTAATCAAAGAGCATGTGAGTAGCTCAATCAGATTATCGTTAGGAGTAGCATAAGGAGTAGGACTAAGTGTTCCAAGTGCACTGCCATTAGGTTGGGAAGATTTGGGAGTTCTAACAATTTCTTGATGAGCATGTTTATCATAAGATTGACTCTGAGGGGATCTAGGACGGGGTTGCTGAGGAGGAGATTTATTGTAGACAACAGATGGCGACCTATGAGAGGATGAAGAATGTTCATAAACCGGGGATTGTTGTGAAGGGAGAGGGCAGTAGGCATTAGAAGAAGACATTACATGGGACCCAAGAAGGGACGGGTGAATTTTTGGGAGAGGAGCAGATTACATCAGCAAAAGATAATTTAGAAATGGGAAAGCGGCGTGATGCTTCAGTATAACTAACATTCTCTTGGGACATTACATGTTTGATATTTTTCTGGCGCAAATTTTCTGGACAGATAGGCTCTGTGGTTTTATGATGGCCTCTGCATAAGAGACAAACAGGATCAGGTACTGTACAGGAGTCCCCAGGGTGTTGTTGAGCACACTTAAAACATCTAGGCTTAGATCGACATTGAGCACGGACATGGCCAAATCTGCAACAGTTATGGCATTGTATGGTAGGTAGTTGGTATATGGAGACTGGGAGAGAAGCATGGAAACAATAAACTTTATGTGGGAGAGTTTGACCTAGGAAGGTCAACACGACTGTGGTGAATGGTTCCCAAGTTGGTCTAACATTATTGTTTTGCCGATTTTTCACATTTAACCTTCTAGCTCTTATGACAGGACCACAATTTGGAGGGCATTGTATCCCAGAGACCAGTTCTTCAAGGTACCACTCCAATGGTATTTGGCGGACAACACCCATTCGAGAAACCAGGAACTTTGGGACCTCTGCATTGAAATTATTTTTTTTGTAATATAGAATTCTCAATAAAGGAATTGGCTTCTACGTAATTTTGAAATTGAACAGAAATTTTATTTCGGCCTAATACCTTGAAGCCATCACACACGATACCAGAAATCTTGTTTTTATGTAGTAGCTGTGCAAAATTAAGTAGTTTAATAGAGAGCCCTTCAGAAGGATGAGCTTCCATACGAGACACATGGACAGTGAAGGGACCTTGATTAAATTCAGTATACCTAATTTTTTTGTCAGGCTCAAAACCAGGTCTAGTGTAAGTATTCTGAATTGAAGCAGCGGGAGTAACGTTTTTTTTGGATATACTAGCGATTTCTAAGTCCCCTGGTCTTTTATGAGGACGACTAGGGGTGATAAACTCGGCAGTTGTAGGCGCCATGTCTATATCAGAGGATGTCTCCACCAGGGGGAGGATCATCATCTCCTGCATCACACATCCTTCTTGTTAAGCGATTACATATAAGACACTTACCAAATTAAATAAACCCACAACCACAAGAACCAACAACAATATGGATACACAACTGAAATAACTAAATCAAACTTCCAAGAAAAATATCACTAAAGCACGTGTCAACGTCCGAATCCTTCCGAGCTCGCCGACCAAGTCATAAACATTATTTATAAAAATGGCAACTTAAAAGTTGTCATCAGACCATGACAATGACAACACCAACATATTCAAAATGTCACCACGTCTCAAAATATCAAAATATGTTGTTGAGGTAAGTTTTTAATGCTTAAATCGGTATAAAATCTTATTAGTTTTGTTAAAGTTTGAAGTAAGATCTGTTAAGTCCATTAGGTATAAATACACATAAATTAGTTTCGTACATTTCTATGAGTGTGACTATACGTCATCATATGAGGAATCATCGCTTACCTAGTACTGTTAATGTAATTTGTTACAATGAAAACATGGTTTTGAAGTATAATAATTTGGAAAATTTTATTTCAGAGGTTGTCTCGTATAGACACTAATGAAAGTACAGGATGTTTGTTCGGTCTTATGTACGATGGTATACTACTGGTCGTAGGACTGAGCTTAGAATTATTTGAAAATGAGAAAAACTCTTATAACCAACTGTTGCTTAATCTTCCCGCCGAGATCGAGCTATGCGGCGTTATAAAGTTTAACGAGTCTTTGGCTATTGAAAATAAAACAAAGGAAATCTTGCAGGTAACAAAATTTTGTTGTTATTAAATGTACTCCGAGTATTTAAGATTGATAATACATTTGTAAATATAAAAAGTAGATTATAAATAATATTTATTTATCTGGACATATTTACACAACTATCTACTCCCATACTAAGTAAAGCTTGTACTATGGATACTAGATAACAAATAACTTACTTAAACATAGATTTTTGTAAATTAATACATATTATAGACATTATGTTACATCACAATATTTTTCCAGTAGTGAGGTCAGGTAACATATAATACACAATATTTTTTTATTTTGTTGTTGTTAAAGTTATTTATTCCTGATAATTTTAGGATGTAGATATAACCGATAATCCACTTGTAATAACAATCAGCAAAGAGAAAGATATAAAAGCACATTTTTTAGTACATGATAAGTTTGAAGAGACAAATTATGAAATTATGGAAATAGAAGAGTTATGGAAACAATTTCTTCATGTACGTTTAAATACTGTGCTACCTCTTACCTGTGAAGCAACTATAGCTGGAGTTAAGAATATCCTTCAAAATAAAAGAAAAAAGGTAATGTATTAAATTAAATAAAATTTTTAAATTCAAGTAAAATCATTACAAGAACTGCCTTGAGCATCATTTTTATATCAATGTTTTTTTCAGATAGCTTCTGGCCAAGTGTCTTTCCATTTAGATGGTACAATGGTGTATTTGTTTGGAATTGCATCCGATGTTGGTGTGACTGGCACAAGTACTGAGGCCAATATTGGGGAATTGTTAGACTCTTTAAGCCCAGAACAACCATCAAAAAAGAAAAAAATCAATATTCATTCCTTGGTAAGTGTTCACTTGGGTTTTTACTTCTTAATTACGTATTATATAATATAAGTCAATATCAATTATGATATAATATTCATGTGGGGCCTACACCGGCCCACATTGGGTTCTGAGAAAAATATATCATAGAAAAATATGGCAATTATGTAAATTTTTTAATGATATAAAATTTTACTATTAACTTATTGGTTTTTAGTATTTAAGTAATGGAAAAGTAATGGTACCAAAATCTAAGCTGTTATTTGATGAATAATTTTTCATGTAGTAAATGTAAATTGTAAATTTCTGTGAATAACAATTCTTCATCCATATTCCATTAATTGACATCTTTTAATTATTTATTTCGAAGACATTAAATTTCTACATTGTGTGTATTCTAGGACATAGTTCAAGTCAATTTAGTTATGAAAACTACTAGGGATATTCTATCCGACAAGCTAGTTAAAACTGCTGTTAAAATGATGACAACTCAAAGAAAACGTAAGTGAATAATGGCATATTCATGTTAAATACTCAATAAAAAAAATCAACCTGTATATATATATATATATAATTTTTATAGAGTGCACTTTGAGCAATTCACTAATTTCCGAGAGGTTTTTATTCCATATAAATATCCATAATTGGCAATGGCAATCCCTTGGCATAATTATATATCATAAAACATGAAATATCACCTGTACTTCAAATATCATGTATACTCAAAATGTTTCCAATAGCAAAATTGTTATTAATTTTAATTTTGATCCAAGCCTATCCCATTAATAACATAACAGTACTAAAAGTAATATTGAAACTGTGAATCTTTATAGAGAGTGACATACAGTATAAGATTAAACTATTATCTTTGAACTAATAAGGTTTGATTAATGAACAAGGTCTATTTTAAAACAATTCATAAATTATTTCTATTCATTTAAAAAAAAAAACTAATTTCTGAATTATTTACAGCTGCATTCTGCATCAGTATGCCATTGAAAATAGACACATTAGCCATGATACACCGCAACACTAAGTTATCTGAATTGTACACAGTATTAGTAGAAGCAGCATGCCGCTCTCTTAGGCTATTAGAAAGTGTCTTGCTTGAGCAACTGGGTACGTATACATCATATTAATTGTATTTTGTAGCTTGCAAATAAATATTAATATTGGTACATTTTGAAACAGGTCAAGAAGGCATTGGTGATGGGGCTGGTTTACGTTTGCCTGAAACATTCCACTATTTACCCCAAGAATTGGGTCACTTTCTCACAAGAGTTGTGCCTAAAGACATACCTGATGAAAGTATGGGTAAGTAGTAAATAACTTAATAAGACATTTATCAAATATACAATATTCCGCCCTACATGGGTTAAGCACAGGAATAAGTTTTCAAATGCAAGTTAAATACTTCACGCAAAAAGATCACTGCTCACTGGTCACAGATGTGATGGGGCAATCAAAACAACATATTGTCTGTTTATTAAACCCACTGTAAAATGCATGAAAAACTTATGAAACAACAACCATGTTTATAAAGAGTTGTTGTTACTTTGTAAATCTGTACAGTTTAGTCTTATATTAATGGTTTTAGAAAAAGAAAGAAAGGCATTGCATGAACAGCTTGCTCTGCCTTTGGACAGGCCCTTTTTCCGAAGAGGAAATGCATACACAAATAATCCAGGGCGATTAGTTAATCCTCATGAGTCTATGCCGCTGCCATCCACTTCACCTGATATTACAGTAGCTTTAGTAAGGGGCCGATACACTTACCACCATTACATGCAGGACAATTTCAATGATGATGGATGGGGCTGTGCCTATCGCTCAATGCAAACAATATTCTCATGGTTTAGGTAAGTGAACACATGAATATCTTTATTATTAATTAACTGTGCAAGGTCTTCGATGTTGCACAACCTCACAGAAGATGGACGTTAAGTGGAAGTGTTTTACTTCGACGTTTCGTCTGGTGAGTGAGGTAGCCAAGGTCCACTTTATTAAAAGGTGACAGACTACGCATCTGCAAGTCTCCACAGGTGTTGTCAATGGGCGGCCATTATTTTACACAACATCAGTTGTACCGCCACCTTCTCACATTGTAAAAAAAATTAAGTGATAGTGGTTCCTGCGTTAATGCTGGTTTATGCTCATACAAAAAAATCAATATTTATATATTTGCGTTTTCTCTACTATTACTGAACACTCAAAACTGTCATAAATCAACACTTTTACTTCATTGTGAATAGAAACGTAATTGTCTTTCAAACATTTTAGGTACCAAGGTTACAGTACAAGCAGTATACCCACTCACAAAGAAATCCAACAGTGCCTTGTTAGAATTGGTGACAAGCCATCATCATTTGTAGGCTCTAAGCAATGGATTGGATCCACTGAAGTGATGTTTTGTCTGGAAACTCTCCTTGGTGTCTCGTCAAGAATTATATTCGCTAACACTGGTGCGGAGTTGCAGAGTTACACACCTGAGTTGGTTCATCATTTCCAAAAGCATGGAAGCCCTATTATGATTGGTGAGTTTTTTTTAAAGCCATGTTCATTTTATACAAAATCGGATCATAAAATATCAATAAAAAAATGATTTTGACACAAGCAAAATAACTCGTACATGGGATAGGGATATTTCATACCTTGTGTACATATCAGAATGAACCAGTACAACCAAGAATGTGGCTTGCGAAATCTTGATTACATCTCTATAGATTGTACAACATTGTTCTTGAGGTTGATTTTCGTGGTGTTATTTGAGCAAATGGATTTCCTTTTGATACAACTCTTCAAACCACATCTATGTAAATAAATTCAATAAAAATCCTATTTATAGAATTTATGATTTTTTTAAATCTGCCAATAAGACTGACAACCCTTACTTGACAATAGTTGATCATAGATTCGCGCAAACTAACTTTTACCGAGAGCAGCGTTGAATTTTAACCTTAATCAATACCTGTTTGTGCAATATATTGTTTATTAAGTTGATAGGATTGTTGAAAAAAATATTGATATATCGATATTTTGATTATATATTCTGTCGATATTTTACTCGATATATTTGGATCCGATATATCGATACAAAATATTCAATATCGATCGTATCAACAACTGTATTTTTTCAAATTCGAACCTGGCACAGAGTACGGCTCTGAAGTGTCAAATATTAATACTTGACATACCTTTTTTCTCGATTATCAATAAAGATAACATAAAAATATATGTGGATATATTTATTTTTATTTTAGCTTTTTAACACTTTCGACATCCCTAGCGTGTACTAGGGGGCCTTGTAGCCTATAAACTTATTTCAGGAATGTATATTTTACAACTACTACATTATATTGTTATTTCATAATTATTTATTTCCTCGCTCAACAACTAATGTCAAACACAACTTACACCTGTTAACTCAATGGATGTCATGGCTGGCGTCCATTGACTGCTATAAAATAAAGCTTACTCCATAAAAAGTTCAATAAACTATTTTTGTCATTTTCTATGTAGTGAAAGCCCTAAATGAAACATCGCTCTTTACTGATTTTTCTTCAAAGATATTTAAAAATACCAACCTTCTAGTTAAAACATTATTTCTAAAAAAATATCATTTTTTTTTGCAAATTAAACTGCTTACAGGTGGCGGAGTGTTGGCGCATACAATTATCGGCGTTGAATACAAAGCGGAGAAAAATGAAACGCGTTATCTCATTCTGGACCCACATTATACGGGGGCTGATGAAATAGCGACAGTTTTAAATAAGGGCTGGTGCGGATGGAAAAATTCCGATTTCTGGAACAAAACTGCTCATTACAATCTTTGTTTGCCACAAACCAGACCTTGCGTTTAGCGTGAAGATGTTTTATACGAAATCAATTTGATATGAGAATGTATCTTAAATGGATTTGTTTTAAATTAATTGTCCATTCTTCGACTGATAACGTAATTAACGTAACGTAATAAAATCTGTAATGTCAGAAAATAAATCTACTTAAAGTAAGATAATAAATACAGTTTGGCCTATGGCGGAGAAAACTCACTGTATACACAATCTGTGGTTTCATCGAAATAATGGACTTCCCACTTATGTGATAATTCCAGATGTACGCATTTTTTAAAAATAATATTTGTTTAATACAATGGATCAATCAATAAATGAATCAATTATTTTATAAACTAAATAGCACCGCCGTGAAAATGTATTAATGCACCAATTAATACAAATGTATATGATATTATTGTACCTACTGCAGAAAATGCTGAGTTGTTGTAACATTAACTATGTTCATTTTCTTTTAATTACTGTGACCACAGTCTGAAATATGTAAGTTGAATGGAATTGTTGTATTTTGTACCGATTAAAACTATAATTTGAACGATTCGCTGTTTTTTATTTTAATATCAGATGCTGTATTATTTTATCGGGCAGTAATAAAATTAAGGGCTACCGACACTAAAGTGTGCATAGTGGCACTAGCGTTTTTTTACTTATTACCAGATTATTTGTAAAAACAAAAAATTAAAACCATCAAACGCAATCAATGTTACTAGAAAGATGTGAAGTGGTGCATGAATAGTACGAGACTTTGGCCACATTAGGCCTAACGCGTACCTCACGTTAATATTCCTAAAGCAAAGCGCCTTATACCTACAAATAAACATCTTAGTTATCTGATGGATTGTTTAAAATTGCCGAGTAATAAAACACGTATTATTCACTGACTAGTTTATTTACACCAATTGAAACAGCATATTATATTTACTCTTATGTAATAATTACAAGCCTCTATACAAGCCAAAACTCAGAGCACTACGCTGAGATTAACTATACCTATGTCGTGTTTGTAAAGTACCTACAGTAATGATTTGATTGAAGAGTTAGAAACGCAGGGCCAGATTTAGAGGTCTGGAGGCCTTAGTGCAACAAAGGAGCGTAGGCCCTTTGGCCCCAAATTACTTTCTATTGATTTCTGTTAATATTTAATGTAATCATGCTTGTACAATGGACTAAAGGTAAAACGCGAAAAAAAAATATGAAATGAAAAGTTGTTTACTAGTCTGAATTTGATTTTTTTTCCGAAGTCTCTATTGTAGGGGCCCCTCGTTTGTGGAGGTCCCGGGGCTGCTGCCCCGGTTGCCCTCCCCTAAATCCGGCCCTGTAGAAACGTGTATTTATTCTTAATGCTTATATCTAGTACATTTTATAGTAAATATTTACTTTAAATGTAATAATATATATATATATATATAGAAGATCTGCTAATTGTGTAATAAATCTCTATCTATAACATTCATCAATATTAACAATAGGCCATATATAATTGTGTACTATTTTGTTTCGAAAACTCAGTGACACTAACAGTAAGTAGGAAAAAACAGGATGTTTCGGAAGAAACATAAATCTAAGCAGTGCATAATTCTCAGAACTTGTTTTATTTCATTTTCAATTTTATTTTATTGTTATAGTAGTAGACACCAACAGTATACATATTTATACAATTTACAAAAAAGGAAAAATGGCACTAATTTACACTTATAACACACGTGTACAACATTTACAATAATGTGACATTAGTATTACATAGCTTAGTACTATTAGCGGCAATTAAAGTTACAATTCAGTAGTTACCTGCACTCTAGGGCCGTAAAACACGCGTTCGCGTCTGCTTCCCCATTCGACCCCTAATTTGTCTGTTCAAAATCCAAAAATTTTCAACTCTTCGACCCCTTTAATTAACCTCGGTATGAAGACGGCAGAAAACGATATTACGAGTCAAGTCAAAGCGGACTATTCTGCGCAGAACTCTTATAAACTATCTTTAATTCGATAATATGAGCGTGAAAGAAATGGGTCTAATTCTTATTACTATTGTATTCATAAAATGTTATAAATTAATATCGATATTGTTTCGCATCCCTTCGGTCTCCCCTCCTGTTTTGCCTTTGTCCAATTTTAATCGTTTGCTTGTAGGGTGCATTGTCAATTACAATAAGTACACTATAACATGATAGATAGATGGTGGAGGTGATAGATTTGTGTTACATCTGTTACTGTTACTCTAATTGTAAACTCTATAATTACGGCCACCGATCTGGCAGACTTAAGTATAACGCCAGACATTTCGGCTCCGTTTGAGCCTAATGAATTTAACCCAAGTTATTCACGAATGACCTAGATGTGTACTTGTGATAACTGTGGGGTCCTTACGTTCACAATGGGACATATTTTTTTTTATTTCATACTAAATCATACAAATAAATGACTCGAATCATTCATGTGAGCCTCCAAAGAACACGTAGATTGTATATTTGAAAGTAAAATAAATTGTTTGTATTGGATCACTAGAGTCGAAAGCAAAGAGGTCTCGGTAGACGTCCGTACCGTACAAGAGCAAGAAGCGGAATGAAAATAATTCAACATTTCAAATGTAATCAATTTAAACAGATTTGCAGGTTGCTAGATTGCAATTTGTGTGAGTTATAAGATTATAGATCTGGGAATGAAAAAAGTTGAATTAAAAAAAGTTTAGCAATTACCCAGTAAAGACCGAAATATGAAATTTAAATGTTAAATAACATATAAATTACCGTGAGTAAACTTAAGACATTCTCTTCATACATAAATTCAACATAAATTTCAATTTGAAGAGGATCTTGCAGGACAACATCCCGACATTGAATTACAAAACTCCAAATTGCAGTGTCGAATTGTCTTAAACCGTTTCTAGAATCAAAAATGTCATTATTGAAGTTAAACAACAGTTGGTGCGCTTGAAAAAAAATATAAGTAGTAAAATTTAAAATAAAAAAATATGATAGTAAAATTTTGACGATGCGCGCGCACACTGACAGCCAAATTAAATTCAAATATCTTTATTCAATATAGAAGCACACTTGCTTATTGACTGTCAAAACGTTGCGTTTTGACAAACCGGTGCACCGGTCCGGAAAAGAAAATCCACTGACCTGAGAAGAACCGGCGAAAGAAACTCAGCGGGACTTTTTTTTTATTTACCATTATTTCTCAAAAACAAAACATGTTTACAAATGTATTGAAGTTCACTTTTAACAGCCTGGAAAGATCACTTCCAGGGTGTGTTATCATTTAAATAATCTCTAATATTATAATAGCTTTGAATATATCGCCATAAAGCAATATTATGAAGTTAATTGAACCAACACTAAAGAACTATAATTTCTTACGTGCGTACACAAACACGTTTATGTGGGTTTAGTACACACAGATTATGTGTACATATTTTTTTTGTCATCTGGCCAGTTAATACATAAACTCTTACCCGTAACATCAATTTTATTCTGTCCACCTCCTCGCCTAACGAATTTACAATATTTTCACCATGTTCTAGTAGAAAGTCATGTGCTTCATTAATACTCCCAATACCTAGTATCTCCTGTAACAGAAAAAAGATCATAACGAAGAAAATAAAATGTTGAACAAAAATCACAAGTACTTAGTTAATATTTAAACAGTTAATACCTTCCATAGCAGTGTTAGGCCGTGTTTCTCTATATAAGACCGTGTCACTTCTCTGCCGTTAAAATCAACTTCCGCCTGAAATAATTGGAATATTTGTTTAGGTGATAGATAATTTCTCAATTTTGTCTAGTTCAAATTTTTTAAATCGGGAAGGATATTATACAAAATTTCAAGTTTCATCCCATTCGCATGATTTGTAGATGATTGGATGTTCAGATATCTGAGTAATATGAAGAAAATTCATCTCTTGCATCGTAATATGTGTTTGAATTCTTGTCACATAAATGAGTACCTCCTGACACACAAAAAAGCAAAAGATAGCGCCTGAGAGACGATTTAACCAGTGCCGGTGATATTGGTTGCTTTATCGGAAACTGAGTTATAGCTATGGCCCGGTTCAGGTTGTCGACCCGCTCGGAGCGCTAGACAGGGCTAGCTATACCTCACGACCCCGGTGTATAGGCGACGGCAGGGGGCGTTGGGACCGCATACGCTTGGGAGCAACCTGAAAGCTGCCGCTGCCCTCTCCACTTTTGTAGCCAGGCAGGCGCTCGAATTGGGAAAAAGAAATCCTATTGGGGAACCAGGACTAAGCCAAGATATCTCATCGTCACCTTGACAGCGACCACAATTATCTGGCCGTCTGCAGTTAGCGCATTTCGTGGCCCATAGAAGGAGAGCTCGATTTCAGCATCACCCCTAGTTCCAGTCGCCATATTCACCCCACAGTTACGCCATTACTGCAGTGGTAAGAATTAGAGCCAATTAGCGCAACTGTCGGCGACAAGTATATGGTCGGCGTAGCAACCTCGACAATTAGATTTTCACGAGAACGAAGAAACTTAGTGTATATTATAGCATGTTTTTTGAAGATAACCTCCTCAATTTTCCTATTCGCACTTTATTTAGAGCACCAAATATACACATAGTGACAATATAAATCATTAGTGTGTCCCAAGAGGTTTAACGAATGACCTTAAATTTTTATTTTAGTGGTTTAAGGTTTTTAAGTAAGGTTTATAATAATTATGAATCGTCCGTATATCCGACTAGAGAAAGAGACCACGAAACTAATCCAATTGCAGAGAGGTATGATAGAGGGACACGTCATTTCTCCGAAACGGTTCACGATCGCATTGGGGAATGTTTTCAAGCTTGAAAGTTTCTCGAATGGGAAGCGTTCGGGGAAAATTACGCTAAATTATCTCATTTCCAAGATTCCGAAATGTTTGAAGACAAGATTAGCACTGTGTTGTGATGAAGTATGACACAGAGATGTGATCTTTAAAGGCATTTTAGAATAGCCCAGAGTCAGACAACGAGTTATAGAGAAAGCTCAGCAAAGTGCAAACAAGGAAATTCAACGAAGAACCAGAGCCACCGACATAGCTCTCCGAAAAATAAAGTCTTCCTATCGACACACAAAAAGCAAAAGATGCAGTTGTGATTTTTTTGAAGGATAGGAGTATGTAAATCCCGTCTTTTAGAACCCTTTCCAGCGTTCATGGTCATGGGGCAGACAGTTACATGTTTTGATGTCAAAGTTAACCCGGGCTACCGTCAATTACTTAGTTATTTATTTTTGTTTCGGAGGTTTATTTGTATTTATTTAAAGGCTTGCAGTGTTGGTGTGCTTGGATTTCATTTTATAAATTATGGGATCCCAGGCCAACTTCCCAATCCCCAACCATCTTCTCTATTGCAGTTAGTTTCTTTATATCAATGTAAAAATATTTTATTTGGATCGTCCTTGGAAATAATCGGCGTTCTTTTTCGAGGATTATCAAATCTAATGCAGTCAACTACTGCATCACAAACTGCAGACTTCTTCAACCTTTGGTGCTTCACGGCAGCTATGTGTTTTTTTTTATGTGAAAAGTTGCCAAAGGAGCAGACGGTTCACCTGATGTTAAGTGAATACCGCCGCCCATAGACATCTGCTACACTCGAGGGTTTGCAGATGCGTTGACAATCTTTTGAAAATTGGGCTCCGGCTACCTCACTCACCAGACGAAACGCGAAAGTATTTGTCATACTTCCACTTTACGCCGGTCTTCTGTGAGGTCGTGGTACTTACCCGGACGAGCCTGCCCATTCGTGCATTCGTGTTTTTTATTTCCAAAAATTCCAAACTCTTTTCAGGTTTTAATTTTTGTTGGTTGTAATGGTTGTAATTTCAAAGCTCTATGCATTGAAATTACACATTTTATATGTAAATAATGTTTGTTACGAATACTTACTTTGTATCGCATTACGTTACAACCGATTTCCATACCCTTAATGTCATGAATAGCTCCAATCATGATATCTGACGCCAAAGCACGGTTAATTAATTCTAACTCATACCGCGGGATTGATCTGAAAAACAAAACATCTAATATCGAAAAATGTTAAGTAAAAAACTTCAAGGTGTTAAAAGATAATAATGATTTACAAGAAATAAATTAAAAAAGATATTATGTGCCTCTTTACAAATACAATACAGATACAGAAAAAAATTAAAACAAAGTAATTTACCTGCCAACAACGGATCGGACATTCCTAAAAATAATAGATGTGGCAACCCCAATCATTATTGTTCCGATTATTAGGCTTCCAATGGCATCAAGGACTGGGTTGCCATTATATTGGGAAATGGCTATAGAAATTCCTGCCACCACAACTCCGGCAATGGCTTTACCTTTAATTAGACGTGGATCGTATTACTTTATCTGAGAATCGGATCTGAATCAGATTTCGATTTTCAATATCTGATTTCGAAACTATGTATTTTAATATCTACATATTTTACGTTCGCATATTCATCTTGTACACGGCTTAAATACGATACGACAATATCACAAGTATTCAACAGAAACTGACCTTTATTTGCATAACGTTAAGATTTAAAGATATGATATTGTGTATCGCCTTAACTATCGTAATATTTATATCTCGTGCTTTGTCGCTCGCAAGCGGCGGACGCGTATCATAGCGCGATTCGTGTAGGCACCGCGAGTGAGCGAGTATTCGGTAGGTACATCGGAAAGATCTAGATATTGTATTACATAGATTTCGAACGAGCCAAATTAAGCGATTTTTAGATATTGAACCAATATATAGTTTTGATAGCTACGAGTATATACGATTTGTATCGCCCACTTCTACAAAAATGTCACAAAGGGGTTGAAGCTGACATAAACTGTAAGAGAAGCCGATACATACCGTATCGGCTTCTCTTACAGTTTATGTCAATAACAACAAATATCAACGAAAACTGGTTGATAGCGAATTTTACTTTCTTATATAAAATAAAAGTCATAAGTACATACTTGAGTAATTTTTCACGTTTTAGCAATTATTAGTTACGATATTTTATGCTATACATATTTTATACAATTACTTTTATACAAAATCGACGGTCAAAAGTCAAAGCACGTTTCGTTCAATATAATTTTCTCACATATATCGAATGGTTTAGAAAGAATATCATAATAAGAATTAAACTAATACGAAAAAGAGGACGGCAAGTGTTTGTCACTTTAGTGTAAGTGTGAACAAATATCAGGAAACCAATCACAGCACGTTTGACATAGACTTATCAAATTCGTATGTGAAGAAACTAAGGCTTGACAAAGACAACAGATACTGAAAGCCGTACTCACTTTGTTTTCATTTGGGAACTAATGTATAGTATAATAGAACACATCTCTTATAATATTCTTAAGATATAATACTCGAGTCGCTCGCGTACTCGAATACTCGCGTAAATACAAGAAATTATTATATAATACTATGTAATAATATTTTATACTAAAGATATGTTACACACTTACAAAGTATCGGCAAACATTCACACATTTCGTTCATCATCAATTTCTCACACATGTCTGATGGTAAAACTGCTATTGCAGTTAAATTAAAGCAATAAGAAAATAACGAGGACGGCAAACGTTTGTTATTTTATCGTAAGAGTAAAAAATCTTCAGGTGCATCAGTCTTTCCCGTCCCCGTATTAAATTTATTTGACATCTCTTTCTAACTTAATATTATGAAAATTATTGAAATATGTTAATAAATCTACGATATATTACATGATATGAGATTTATTGAATTTTATTAATTTTCGAGTCGTATTTGGTACATCTTTTAAAGACACGACGGAATATTTATTATTGTAAAATTTATGACACCGCGACTTATTACTTGCCCTGCCGTGAACTAAAGACAGTATAATATATGTATTATATGTCCTATATAAAGACAAGACGTCCCACACCACATTGAGACGTTTTCGTGGCTACACTTTGGGAGTGTAAACTTAAATCTGTAGTCTAAAATAGCATTGGAGAATAGATTATAGAAAACTTCTACTTGTTCAGAAACATAGACCAGCCGGAGAAGGATTAGATATAAAACATACAATTTGAAATTATTTTTTTTCTTTATTTAATATTTTTTAACCAGCAGTAATGTCCTCAAATTAATATTTAGTAAACTATAATAAAACGAGTAACTAAGTATGTAACTAGTATAATTCTAAGGTACATAACGATTTAAGTATTGATGAGATAATCTCATTACCCGGCCACGCTTCGCTGTGGCTTTTTTCCGAAGAACTGGGGTGGGGCAACGGCCTACGTAACAGTTTCTACTGTTGCACGAATGGGCAGGCTCGTCCAGGAAAGTACCACGGCAAGAAGACCGCGTGGTGAAATTGAGAACAAATAATGCATGTTCGTGTTTTAATGTAGAATTATTTAAAATAGGAGAGTGCGACTAATTCTTCTGTACGTGTTTATATCACTGAACTCCTTCGAACCACTCGACTCCAAAGCGCCGCCGACCGCCTCGGCGATTGGTTCCGCAAATGGAGAATAGAAATAAATCCCGAAAAGAGTGTGGCGATTCACTTCACACGAAGTACCTACCCGTCACATCTTTATAATGGCCCTCGCCAATGCAGAAAGTTGGGGCAAATATCCCTTTATGGCCAACCGCTCCCCTGGGAGAAAAAGGTCAAATACTTAGGAGTCACTTTCGACTCGCGTATGTCATTTACTACGCACATTTATAACGTTCGTAATAGAGCCGCGTTCGTCTCCGGCCGGCTACACAATTTAACTAATGCTAAAAGTAAAATGCCCTTAAGGCACAAATTATTATTATATAAGACCTGCGTACGACCTATTATGTCCTATGCATGCATGATCTTCGCCCACACGCACCCTACTCGCTTGTACAAGTTGCAAATAGTACAAATTAAGTTTATCCGCCGCGCAACCGGTGCGCAGTGGTATCAGCGCAACGTCGACCTGCACAGCGATTGCAGACTCCCGACGATTCGCGGACATTTTAAAGATTTGACAAAACGGTTCTTCGATAGAGCCCAGCATCATCCCAACCCTCTGGTGGTAAGCGCAGCAAACTATCAACCGGACACTAACGCGAACGTAAACAAGCGTCGCCCGCGAAACGTTCTCATCGACCCGGTCGACGAAGAGGACTTAGATACGATGGACCCACCGCCGGGGGTCCCGCCGGATAACACTACACCCATAGTTAGTGTAACAACAATCACACCAGTTGGCCCTCGCCTCCGAGCACGGCGAGACCCACAAAACGCGTACACAAGGTACACCCGCGTTCCGGGGCGGTTTTCACCGCTCCCAGCCACCGATTAGCTAAATGCACAGTCGACGGCCGTCGGGGTCTCGGTCCGAACCGCGACCTCGACGGCCCTTAGATGACACACCATAATTAAACGCACGCATGAGCACATGCGCGACCCTACCCATAGCGGAGGGTCCAAACCCGTGGGTTCTGGCTAGCCCACCGGTTCTGCGTCCGATGAAGCTTTAATAGTCTCGGGACTGAAAGCAAAAACATCAGTTAATACAAGATACACTCCTTCGAAACGGCTGGATAGATTTTAATGAATTTTTGTGTCTTCAGGTAGATTCGAGAATGTTTTAAATTCACGTTTCGGCCCACTACAATGTCTATTTTTGCTTGTAAGTTGTTGCCGGATTTAAGTCGTGTGTACAGGACAGTCTGTCGGTCCGCTAGTTTACATATATTTTTCATGACCCATTTTTATGTCCGTTCTGAATTTTCGGTTTTTTTATTACTCAGTTTTTGATCAGAATTATACCATTATAGTCATTTATGTAAAAAGGTTTCGTTCTGAGAACCATGCATAGTATCTGTAAAATAAACACAAAACTCTACCATATGTGGCTTATACATTAAAAATCGGCAATTCTGTTTCTTTTTAAATTACTTTTGCAACAAACAAAATTCTTTGCTAAATATATATATATTTGAAATTGAAACCTATAAAAGTAAAATTAAAATGAGCTTAATTTTAGATTTATTTGAAAGCAACGTTCATTAAATAAAAATGATCAGTACGTAGTTGAAATCAAAAAGCTTCTAAAAAGTAGGTATTGTATTGAATCTCTAGAAGACCCAATTGGAGTAGTGGATAGTGAACCTGTTTCTTGCGCCAGACGGTGTGGGTTTGATCCCCACAACTGTAAAAATATTGTGTGATGAATATTGTGTTTTTCTAGTATATGAGTTTTCTAGTATTTCGAGTATATTATCCTTTAAACGAGCAATTCTTGTATGTTACAGCGTGTCGTTACCATCGCAACAATAAATGAACACACGTCTAACGCTACTTGCCAATTATCATAAAAAATATTAACGTTAAAAAAATATCCATAATTAAAAAAAATATTTTTCAAATAAATTAATTAAATAAAAAAGAAACAAAATTTAACATCCTATACAACTAGCGCCACAGCGTCGCATTACAAGAATCTCCTAACAGTATGTTTTTTTCTCTATTAAATTCATTCAACCCATTCATATGCTTTGTGACCTTTACAAATGAATTTTACGTTACAGTTTTATACGTAAGGGTGTTCTAAAATTCTTTGTTTTGGAAAATTTAATAACTCTGTAAATATTGATGTTTAAAGAATGTAATACAATTTTAAAAAGTTATCCTTTATATGTGTGTTCGTTTATTGTCGCGATTGTAAAGACACGTTGTATAATCGGAATTTCGGAAACGGTTCCAGCGATTTTCATGAAATTTAGTACATGCGTAGATTCGGGAGCGAAAAATCGATCTAGCTAGGTTTCATTTTTTGAAAATGTCCTTTTATCCCTGTTTTCGAGGAATGAAAAATATCATTCGAATGACAGTAAATTTCGCCGCATACAAAAGTTATAATAGCTCGGTCGGTAATCGGGCAGCCCCAAAACAGACGGCCGCGGTTCGTATCACGAACATTTACACACTTATTTATTTTTTTTACTTTTTTTTCTATACCAGATCATTTTATATATTTTCAAAATACACGATTTACCAAAACCGGTCCTCCAGGTACTATATATAATATGCCTTGGCATAAATGTAGATGCAAAACTGCAATGAGGCCCCAATATTGATAAACTGGCGAGTATAGTTAGCTCAGCAGCCTTCGCGGTGAAAATATAAGACAATTGACTGATATGGATACAGGTCGTTTGGTACATTTTAGTTATTTGCACAATATAATATCTTACCGCTTTTTACTTTGGGGAAATGCGGCAGACAAACACTATCTTCATCTTGCAAAAGAGAGCTATTCCAGCAGTTTGTAACCTGGGCCCCAAAGAATCACTAAGAAATTTGTTTAAACAAATAAATACTTGCAGATATCCATAAAAATAAGAATGAATTTTATTTTCACATATTTATTTTTTGTCAAATTATGTTAAAAAAATTGTCCCGCTGAGTTTCTTTCTCCGTTTCTTCTCAGATCAGTGGCTTTTTTTCTGAACCGGTAATAGTTTTTCGACAATCAATAAGCAAGTGTAATGCTTCTATTTTGAATAAAGACACTTGAATATTTAATTTTATATGAATTTATTTACCCATATTAAAAGCTTTGCTTAGTTTGGGACTAGATAACCTTGTCTTATGTTTATAATGTAATATAGTCGTTCCTTTGACCAAGACTGTTGGTATTCCGATATCATCAAAGTATAACTTACTATAAGGATTCGTTTTCATATTGCCTCTCAATATGCTACTCAATTGAATGAGATTAAAGAATGTTATATTTAGTTCAATATTTTTAAAACTCTATTATGTAATATTCAATATTCTTCACTTCATCATAACAATTGATAATACCAAAGAACAATTTAGAATATTTTACCAAACTAGAGTAGAACTGAGCTGAACAGTTGAAACCAAAGGAAGATGACTGTCTCATCAAGTAGACTTTATTTCCTTAATTTAAAATGATCTACCTATAAGGCTGGAGCATCACTTGAAGCATAATATAACTTGTATTAGGAAGCATCGCTCTTCCACAACAGTATTATTTTTTTAATAATATAAAACGGGTTAAATCTTAAATTTTTACTATAAACAATGGGTGTGCTTGCCTTGTAGTTCTTACTAGCTGTTCCCGCGACTTCGTCCGCGTGAAATTATAATATATATATATAAAATAAAATATCTAAAATAAAAGTAGCCTTTGTTACTACTTATTACATCAGCTATCTGCCAGTGAAAGTCCCGTCAAAATTGGTCCAGCCGTTTCAGAGATTAGTCGGAACAAACAGACAGACAGACAGACAGACGTAAAAAAAAATTGTAAAAATTTTTATTTTGGTATATGTACCCTGTATACATCCATATGCATTTAGTAAACAGCGGTTATTTGAATATTACAAACAGAAACTCCAATTTTATTTATCTGTATGTATGTATGTATAGATTGTGCTCAGAGTGATATAATTAAATTTAGAAACCACAAATAAAATCGGCAACAGTAAGCCAAATAAAATAAATAAATATATTAATTCGACTGCAAAAACTCAATACACAGTTCTGCCAACATGATAAATATAGGAAGGGGGCAACGTCATACTCGTATCAATTGTTCTTTTCTTTTTAATTTCAATGAGTCGCGGAACCGACACAGAGCAATCCGACTCATATGCTCCCATCTTAACCTTCGTGGTTATTTTTTTTATCACCACCCAGAAATAGGAGCAGAATTGACATAATTATTGACAACAACAAAGTGGCGGATTTCAAAATTCATTTAAAATTATAAAATTTCATTATTTTTTTTCGAAAACTTTAAGCGACCGGAGAATCCTGCTGGTTGATAAATTTATTATTGATTTTTCTCTATCGTTCATAATTTGATTTAATTGTAGTAATGTAGAATTTAATCAAATTATGAAAAACATATCATCACACCGAGATTTTTAATGATCGCCTTCCGCAAAGGTACAACATCGATGGAGTATTCGAAATCTAGAAATTCTTTCTTCTATGTCAATGACATCATTTTACATTTATGCAGACTATGACTGGTGCAGTTTATTTTCTAATCACTATTTACAAAAATTGTTTTGATTTAATATTATTGTCAGTTGATTGTATATATTTTTAAATTAAATAAACAGTTCTGTGGTAGGGCCACGCAAAGTTTTCACTGTTGCACGAATGGGCAGGTCCGTCCGGGTAATTACCATGACCTCACAGAAGACCGGCGTAAAGTTGAAGTGTTACACTTCTTCGTGTCGTCTGGTGAGTGAGGTAGCCGGGGCCCACATTATTTAAAGGTGGCAACGCATTTTTTACGGGTGTTGCAAATGTCCATGGGCGGCAGTTATCACTTTTTTTTTTTTTTTTTTTTATTTATTTAATCCAGTAATAAAGTACAATAACATAAATTATTCTCTGCCAAACTGTGATGCAGTTTGTCGGCAGTCTGAACTTAACATCAGGTGAACCACCAGCTCGTTTGGCACGTTTTCACATAAAAAAAAATTTTATTAAAGTAATTTACCATTAGTCAAGACTATGTCGGCCGCTATAAAATCCTTCCATATGGCATGTGAAGTCATTAAAAATGTTGCAAACTCCGACACAAATGCTTCACTAAGAACCAAATATGCCTGTATAAGAATAATGGTTAAAAGTTAAACTTATGCTGATACATTGATGTTATTAGAACTTTCATGAACTCATTTGTAAAACTAGGCATGCAAAAGAAAAGTGGCAAATGGTTTTAAACATCTCACCCAAAGAAAGCTGTGGGGAGGCTGTGGGTCCATAATGCCAACTACTGCATGGTAAAAGGATAGACCACTGCAAATGTAAAGTATACCGGCACCGTGTATCGAAAATGACGCGTAACGCCAAAGTGTTTTACCATAATATGGGCAGTCCGAGTACATAGTCTAAAAATTAACAATTAAATGATAATATACATTGTAATAATGAATGTCAATGGGTAATAAAATAAAAAAAATGATTAACAATTGCAACGAATTAAAAATTGCAAATGAGTTTCTAGTAGACCTACGTCGCGTATTCTTGTTCGGGTATAACGCCGAATAATTACCGAATATTTAAATACTATTATTTTAAGATTTAATTATGGTAAGAAGGCTTAATTATGAGAAAAAAAATAACTATACCTAATATTAACCACATTGGCAATTATTTGTAATATTTGCCTTGACTCAGAGTACATTTCCGACTTTAATTGAACATAATAAAATTGTGTTCATACAAAATTAAGGTACTAAATACGACGTACAATGCCAGCCTTAAGCAAAAGGTTTAAGAAAATTATGTTGAAATAATTAATTTCGTTTTAATAAACATAATACGAACTGTGGCAGGGTGACGCCGCTTTTGCTGTAGAAGGAATGGGTAGGCTTATCCGGGGAAGAGGAATTGTTATAATTTTTCGTTACTTCGCTAAGTGAGGTACCCGGGTGTCCAATTTTTGAAATAACGGTAATGCACATACACCGAAAGGGCTGCGGTAGTCACTTAACAACGGGTGAACTGCCTACTTACAACTGCATACTTACAAGCTCATTACATAAAAAAATCCCAAACTGAACACAATTTTATTTACGACAGGTGAACCAAAATAAATACATATAAAATAGAGCCCAATGTCGTAAAGGCCCAGAAAAGTGTCATTACCATATTACTACCCTGCCAAGGAATATGAGTGTGCAGATGACAATATATATATATATCGATAAATATAAACATTATGGTATAGATTGATGTACAATAGATCCTGTGTTCTGCAGTTTCGCTAATGAAGAGAAATGACTCAAAAAAAAGGGAAGAAGAAAAAAACAAACTTTATAAAATACTAGCTGATACCCGCGACCTCGTATGCGTTGCTTATTATATTAACAGATAAACAGCTTGCCCCACTTCTGCACTGCAAGAAAACACACATCAATGAACATGTAGTGCTCATAAAAGTCGTTTGATAAAACTTTAATAGCTATATTAAATGAAGATATCACATTTTTTATTTAGATAAGGGCCAAATGTCTAACGACCAGTTTCTGAAACACTAACGCCCGGTTTCTGAAACACTGATCATTCTGATCATTAAGAAGATCATTCTGACCAATTCAGAGAGTTTAACATGGCTTTTGGCAACTCAAATAACATTTGAAAATCCATTTGACAGCTGGTTAGTTGACTTCTACGATGATCAGTGTTTCAGAAACCGGGCGTCAAATGGATTTTCAGTTTCTAAAAGGATGGGTAAACCATTTGAACTTATTATTCTGATAATTAAGATCATTTTCTGATCAATTCACAGAATTCAACCATCCTTTTGACAACTCAAATGACATTTGAGTTGTCAAAAGGTACGCTGTGTCAAAAAATACGCTGATCAGTGTTTCAGAAACCGAGCGTAGATAAGAGGCTTCTGTGCCATGGGGTAATAACTGGAAAATATGAACACAAAGTACACCACGGCCCTGATAAATTATTCTGGATAACATCAATATTTGTTTCATGGGGGAGTCAAGTGTGCATTAAACACTGCAGAATCCAGAGTTTTAGAATCGGCTTTTAATTTTAAGTGCTGACTCATCATCTCCTCAGCGGTGAAGGAAAACATCGTGTGGGACCGTAAATATTTTCAAAAAAACGACAGTAAAAATTCCAAAAGAAGAAGTAAAAGATCCGCAGTTCGGTCGCGTTGTGGACTATGCCCTTTTACTCTCTGTAGAAAGGAGGCCTTTGCCCAGCAGTGGGGAATTTATAGGCTGTTGCTTTACTTAATTTTTATTCTTGGTAATAATTTATTTCACTGATTTAAACCGGCATCTTTATATTGTAGTTTTGGTAAGTGAGAAATTACAAAATGCATTTATGAACAAACTCTGCAGTTAAAACTTTGCAGTAAAGTGAACAAAACTGAGGCATAAAAATAATGAAATGGGTTAATAAATAAATACTGAGCAGATAAATATAAAGACGTGCTATTAAGTGTGTGAAATTAACAAATAAGAATTAGTTCGTATGAAATCGCGTAGTAAACAGTTCTATAAACAATAAGGGGTAAAATTCACCATACATTCAGCATGTAACGTAAAAAAGGAAAAATATTTAAGTGTGGTTTAATGATTTACCTGTTTTTTTATTCAGTAAACTTAATTTGTGAAAAAGGAATAAGTATGACTTAAGCTAAACAAATTATATACTACGAGAATGACAGGTACATCTGATTTGGTAGGATCTAAAAAACGATAGTGAATCTAAATTTACTTAGAGGCTAAAATGAAGCAAGCTTAAATCGCGGTCCCCTCTGCCAAATGTACATTATGTTTTTCAAAGAGGCCTTTGGATGTTTTTGGGCTTTGACATTTTTATTAGCCTTTTTTAATTAGACTGCTTACGTATTTTTTACTGATAGTGTAGAGCGAAATAATTATTTTTTTTATTATTGTCGCACTAATTTATCAATTATATTTTTTTTTAACTGATCATAATAATCTTCCTAATGATATATTACAACAGTTTTAAAAATTATATTGAATATTTAATTACATTAAATTGAAATGGATATGAATTGATTTTAGTGTGCTGTTATATAACATTGCTTTTTAGTACTTTCATGCCCCCATCCAAAAAATCACCATTGTGCTGAATAATAAAGTATACATACGTGCACAGATTTACGGATTCCATACGCAAAAATAACTAGATTAATAGTGTTCGCAAAAGTGTGGACACATTCACTGAACAAACTATATGATCCAGTATAAAGCCAAGCACATAGCTTAAGTATAAAATTGAGCACATATCTGAAACAAAGAAACAGTTCAGTTATATTAATGCAAAGATTTTCGAAAGCATAAATAACATGTAATTTACTTACATTCCAATAGTTGTCACAAGGGCTCTCCCAGATCTAGGTCTAAACCCTAATTCCACTACATGATGCGTCAGACGTTTTCGAATGATTCCTCTGTTATAATTATCTAACTTTTCCCTAAAAGCGCGAATATCTGAAAAAACATGAATGAGATTGTATGTTCAAAAGATGTCGGAAAAATAAAATTTAGACGCAACATCAAATAAGAATAACATATATTCTTGTTAGTGAGTAATATAAATAGGTTTGTAAATATATAATGTAAGCTCAAATCATTCATTTAATAATGCAGAAAAAAATTAATATTCCGACAACCTTCCTTGTATTTTTGTTTCGCATATTTCTCACGTAATACCTCCTTTTCATATGCTTGCCTTATACCCCAGACCTGAAAAAAAAGCAATGATTTCAATGGAATAGAAAAATGCCAAGAATATAATTGTATTGCCTATAATTTTGGTTTCCCTCAAGAGAAATCCAGTCAGATAATAGCTACCGATCGAGCCGAGGTCCGGCCCTCTCGGGCACCCTCGAATCGGAATGCTAAACGCGTGCTGAGTGACAGCCCAAGCCGAGGTCCCCTCTCGGGGACCCTTGAGCCTGATCACTCCATGGAGCGCCCGCCAAAGCGTCCTAAGAGCTTGGCGGCCTCCCAAACCGGTAACAATAATAGCGTGACGGCCCGAGCCGAGGCTCCCCCGGGAGCCCTCGAGCTTAGTCACCATAACGCGTAATAATAGTACAGGCTAGGCGCCTCGTGCGCCAGGCCACCTCAAGTCCGTCGGATCTGTAAAGGCCCCTAAGGCCAACAGTGGCTCATCCAGCCCAAAAAAAAAAAATCAAGAGAAATTGGTAATATACATTGATTTTTTATCTAGAATTTAAAATTTAAAGTGCTTTTGAACCCTATGGTCTTAAAAGTTCAAAAGGGGTTTATTCCGAAATGGTACAATTTAAATTGCATATAGATCTGATGATGAGTTTCGGAGATAGACAAAGGAACTCAAAAGATAACAGGAAATCAACCGCGATTGCTGCTATCGCATAAATATGCATATGTTTACGCAATCATATGCCAAACATCACATTTGTACACTCGAAAATCTTAAGCAGATGTATTTAGTATTGCCGAGAACGCGAAAACGTCGTAAATCTCCTATCAACAGCTTTCCTTCACGCTCACAAAGGAACTAGTTGAGCCGTTGTCAATTCGCCAACGCGATTAGTAATCCTTGTAAATAAATATATAGCCAAACGAGTGCGAATTAAACGAAGACGATCAATGTAATTTTCTTGATTTTCTTCAATTAACCTACGTAACATATATATTTTTTAACAAGCGCTGGTCTCGGCCTCTCACCTTAGGTCGGCCAATATTTTATAATAACTCAGTATTCAAATTAAATAACTATAAATAAAATAAAAAAAATTAACAAGAAAGGAACCCACGTCACAAAACTCTGTTAGCATTACAAAGTTTAAAATAATACTTAATCTGATATAATCAAATCTTGAAAATGTAACCAATAACCTAACCTAACCTTTAAACAATTTAAAAATTTTTTGGGTTACGTGTCATTGTTCACCATGGGTAATGGTTGCGCACCGTAACACCTTGCTAAAAAAATACAAAGAAGCTAAGCAACAATGAATACTGCGGTTGTCTAATAAATAGGTTAAAAGAAAAATAGATATAGTTATTTAATTATGTATCTATTCCAGCTGAATTGTGTAACAACGTTAGGTTTTATGCTCTGATCGGAGATCCTTGGCTTGGCACAGACTCCAAAAATTGTTAAATTTTTTAGAGGTTAGATTAGATTTTCAAGATTTGATTATATTACATTTATTATTATTTTAAACTTTTTAGTGCTAACAGTGTTCATTGAAGTCGGTTTTATTTTGTTAAAACCTTTTTATATTTTGGCCAACCAACCTACAGAATTTAATATGTCAGAAGTGGGATACAGTTTCAAAATGTCTCAGCCATATAGCGACGGCATAGGTAAACTAAAGCGGAAACTAAACTATCCACGCATTCTGCGGAGCAGACTAAACTACGACGGAGGTAGATCGATTTTTTCCCCCCCACTGAAAACCGTCGTTCAACCTTGGAAAGAACACACGTGACGACAACTGATGCGCAGATTATCTCCGAATTTCGACCTGAAAATAGCAGTAGTAATGTAAAGGGTTGGTTAGATAAAATTTATCAAGTCGGTGACGTCTACGGATGGAGCAACACTGATCGGTAGTCCGTTGTGCAACAAAGGTTAACGGGCGCTGCACGCGAATAGTAGTATGACGAGTTGGATAATTGGGAAGAATGGAAAGGAGCCTTTTTTTGTTGTGTTCCCACGATCGACAGATATATGTGTATAGATTGGCACAGATGCTGGCTAGAAAAAAACAAGATGCGGAAACCGCGTACTATCACGAAAAAATATCCCCAAAAAATATCCTCCTAAAAATGTGGTATTCATGGCGATCAAGCGAATAACTGTATAATTCGTTCCCTACGTGCGGAGTTGCAAGCTAACGCGAAAGAGTAACGTTGTGATACCACCGAACAACTTTACTTCGGCTACTTATCACCGCTGGAGAAGTATCAGCTGACGAATACTATATACAATGCACGAAGGTCCGTATGGAGAAGAGGAACTGATAATGCGGCCAGTAAAACACCAACCCAACATCAACTCCAACCTAAACAGTGTTACATGCGAACCGATTAATGTCATCATGACACACGACGGCTATGTGCTGGTTTGCACCGGGAGCATCTAGACAACATACGCAAAGGTTGGTGATGTTTTAAGCAGTAGATAAAGTAATAAATCACAATTAAAATTCGAGTATAAATATTGATATATACTTAATATTAGGTCCGCCCGAAGTACTAGTATTTATTCTTTATTGATACATTCAGTATAATTTAATATAGCTGTAGCCTAAAACTAAAAACCTTAAAAAATATAATAAAATAATGTTATTTAAAGGAGTCCCTTTTTGCCTTTGGCAACCTTCCTCCCGTCCGTTCCTTTTGGCAAGGTTCCGAAGATACTGGCAGCGTTCCCCTTTTAAATAGCTAGACTAATTCTTTGTCCGAGGTAGCTGCCAGCTATTCGGTCTCCTGTGATGAAGACTAACCTTTTTACTATTTCCTTAAAAAGCCTTATAGCGCTAGGACTCCACGGACCAAGGGTCTCAACACCGAATAGGACAAAAACATATTCGGAGCCTAGCACCTGTATTTGCAAGCTTTAGCTTTTTCAGCCGCTTCACAAGCCGCACCAGCTCTGTTGTTGGTTCCATGTAGATGGGAAGGGGCCAGCGTGTCTGAACAGGTTGCATCCCATACCAGCACCCGGCCCATCTTCCATGGAATCAAACTCATACCGTCCGGTCTCTTGCCATCGTCTCTTGCAATACCAGTCGGTTCAAGTAGACTTGGCACGTTGACGGTGACAAGGGACCGGCGTATGATATCGTTAAGTGCGGCATGTCTCGAGAAGCGGCTTGCAATTTTTTGGCATGACAGTCCGTGATGCTTGTCGACATCACTGTCACAGGGACATATATGAGGAGCGCAGACCGGAACCCCAAGCCGTAGACAGATTGCGATTCGGAGCGTGTCAAGCTCAAGAAATGTTCCTGTATTTGGCGAAGGGTACGCGTGAAGCCAGTAGCCAGCCTCATGCGCCCCCACGGCCAAAAGCCAAGCACGCGTTGAACCTGTACTACAGCTCAAAAGATTGTCATAAGTCAATTTGCAGTTTATGTCGTCCCAGCTACTCTGTGAATTTGGAGAAACTGGAAAATTTCGACTTGGGCATGCAATTAAGAAAGCCTTAATATTGATAATAGGGTCACATTTAGGCATTTAACAAACGTATATAAAGTTATACATACATATTTTTTTTTTTTCATAAAAAGGGTCGACGGTGTGATCAATTTCATAGTATAAGAGGGGAAAAATAAACTGTGTGATCTTATTTCATTGTGAAAGGACTGCTGTGTTATGAAGTACGTAGTAAAAGAAGAGAATATTATTGACTGTGATCTAATCCAAATTTGAGAGGGCGGCTAAATGATCAAGTCCATAATGCACAAAGTATAGAAATGTGTGATCGGGACGGCTGTGCGATCAAGTTCGTATTCATAAAATAACATACAAGTTGTTACTTAGAAGGGCGGCTATTTGTTCAAGCCTGAATCGAGGGTGTTATAATATCAAGGGGCAGATCATATACATTAATAAAATTTATTCTGTCCCTATACAGTGACTGATGTATTATTAATCTTTCAGGATTCTGATGTCAATACGGAAAGCCAGGAAGATCGTCGTGGGACATGGCTGCAGCAGGATAGCCGGCTGGCAACACTGCTTAATATACGAGTAATAACAATTATACCTAATAAACATTAAACCATACCTGGTATATTATATAATAAATCGTGTTTAATAATAATTTATAATTTAATAAACCGATCTGATTAACTGCATTCGTAATTTTATGAGTGCATTGATTTGAAGTGTAATGACTCATTTATTTTTGTATATCAGCAAATAAGGTTTCAGTGTTAGAAAAGAACTCTTTTCCTTTGCACTGGACGTTACTGTTCTAATAAGTATGAAGTAGCCAAATTTATAAATAAAATTGTTTACGCTATCATCTCTATTTTATTTGGGCCAACCAACCTACATTCTTTAATAGTGTACTATAATACTAATGTGTACATTGATCCAAAATTGATATATCAGTATTTAAGTTGTATTTAATGCATGAAAGAATAAGTTTTAATTGGATTCTAGCACTACAATTCTGCTCATTTCTGCATCACTGTCTGAGTAGTCATCGTTGTCATCATCATCATCATCACTAAACATCTCGAAATGGTTATCTTGAGGTCGTTGATATTCCTAGTCTTATTTGAAAAGCATTACATGCCTACATATACATTGTAGTACACATTGATCCAATTGTTATGTATCTGTATTTACGTGGCTAATGTTTTAATCGCATTTATTTTTTTGGAATATTGACTAATTTACATTTGCATTCTATTTTTAAGAGGCTATACAAGTGGAAATAAAAATAATTATAATTGTACCATCACAAATTGTACCTTGTGTATTGCAAATAAATAAATAACTTTGAACTTATGATAATCTGTAGCTTGGCTTATCTAAGCTATGAGCTTCAGTTGGCGCAGTTGGCGCAGTGGGAAATTTGGGGTGACTCTATTAAGGGTAAAACCTGTCTCTGGATTCGCGCAGCGATTTTCGCCATTCTTAGCATCCTTCATATATAATAAAATCATAAAGAAGTATGGCATTAAGGAACACTGCATATACAAAGCAAAGAAAAAAATGAAGGCTTTGTTATTTTAACTTACTTTTAACTGTGTTAGGGCCACGCAATATTGTTGGCTGTTGCTCGAATGGGCAGGTCCGTCCGAGTAAGTACCACGACCTCACAGTAGACCGGCGTAAAGTGGAAGTGTTATACTTGCGCGTTTCATCTGGTGAGTGAGGTGGCCGGAGCTTTTCCAAACCTCTGTAACATCACCAACAACAAAGCATCTGTAACCCTCTGGTGTAGCAGATGACTATGGGCGGTGGTATTCACTTAACATCAGGTGAACCGTCTACTCGCATGGCAACTTTTCACATAAAAAAAAAAAATAAAAAATGGCGGATTTCTTAAAACTATTAAAACAAATCGGAAGAAATTAAATTTTTTTGATAAATTTAAGGAGTCACAGATCCGATATAGAGCAATGGGACTCGGGTAGATAGATAGGTTAGAAGGCTAAGACGGGAGCTAGTTCCTACCTAAGCCTTCGTGGTTTGTTTAAATTATTATCACCCAGAACGTCAGTGCAACAGTAGATTTAGTATTTTTATACTCTTTTTTTTAATATGGCGGAATGGCGGATGATGGTTTGATAAATGGCCTTACAACGAACTTGAAACTTCAGAACCGACTTTCTCAACCTCGACACGCCGTGGTCTTGGTCTGTCCTACCCCTAGAGTGTTTTTAGAGCCCGCAGGCGCGGAGGGGGGGCAGCCCCCGCCTGCCGTGACAAAGGCGCAGGCGTCACGCGCCCCTAAAAATAAATAAATGGTGACTCCATAAAAAAAAACGATTCAAAACCTTTAATTAGTATAATCCAATGTTAAATATATCCCTTTTAAAAAAATCGTTAGGAAAAAAACTATGATTTCCGACGACCCATTGGGGGGATTCCTATGCCGGCCTCGATCCCTCCTTACTTGTACTTATATAAGTGACCTTCTTATCTACATAATGAAAAAACTAAGTTAATCAAATTAATTTGCGTGCAAAAATTAAAATATGGGTTTAAATTTTTACTCACCTCTTCAGCTTCATCTTGCAAATCTTTATGATAATATACGCCTTTTGGTGTCTTTTTGTGACTTTTTGGTGACTTTGGTTTAGATGTTGACCTTTTGTGTACTTTCGGTAATGTTTTTTCTAAATCAGAATCAAATTGCTTAAGCAAGTGCTCAGAGTCAGCTGACTGCATTATTATAACGTTGGGCTCAGTATAACAAAGAACGCAAAAGCCAATGAGATGTATTTTTTTACTGTAAAAACGACATAAATAAGGGTTTAAAGGTGAAATGTTATAGATTTAATTGTTTTTACTTCGGAAATCCGCCATTGGAACTTCAATATATGAATAATCAATACTGTGTCATTGACAGGGAGGGAGGGTGTATGAAATTAAGGATTGCCAGTTAAAAAATGTGTTTAGTTTCAGAGTACATTAATATAATTTACTCACACCAATAAGAAAACGAGAGTGCTTTAGATCACACGAATGAAGTTAAACTTCTTTAGCTCCATCTATATGTAATCTGTATGAATTTACAATTTAATTCAATTTAAACTTAAAATATTTAATATATTGAACAAAATATTAATTTATAAAATTGTTCAAGAACGAAATGATATTACGAAATAATCAAGAAATCGCCGTTGGTGTAATATTACACTTTTTGTCACGCATTCGCCAGTTTACTCCGCAAGTCAAGCGTGCGTAAAGAAGTTTTTATTTAAAAAGTATAGATATTGCGCTTATAAAATTCTGATTTCGGTCACATGAAGACGGGCTCTCGGCCATCTGCCTGCCGCGAAAGAGTGACGTAGTTTTAATAAAAATAATAAATTGCGAAATTATGCCATCCCACGGAATAGAGAAAACAGTGGAAGTGGTTCTTACAGCCTAGTACCGGACCCGCTGTCGCCAAACTCACGCAAGTAATACCTACTTGTGTCGTATTTTGAGCTAATAATATGTCTTATCTGCTATTGCGATTATTATTTAAACTTAAATGTTCATTGAAAAACACTCCTTAAACCGTGCATATTAGATTTCATTTTATGAATGACGTACAATGTATTTGTGACGTTTTTCATTTTAAACTCTTACAAGAAAAAAATATCAAGCGAGTACCGACTGCCACTCGACGCTGGATTAGATGTCACGAACGTAAGATGAATTCACAAACGTCTTGGATTGGAGTTAAAGATAATTGCGACTTCACACAAAGTTTCTATTTTTAGTTGTTAGGGATGCACATACTTCAATTAAATTTATTGATATTTTACTTACCACCGTGGTAAATTCTTTATCAACATGTTTTTCGCTGTGTATAGAGCGTCCAAATGTGTATAGTGAATTTATCATTTAATTAAGGAAAAATAATAGAAATATGGCAATAAAAAATAACACTCCAATTAAATACAAATCGCGACTGTACTTGAGTAGCAAGTTTCTTGAAAAGGCGAAATACACTTTAATATGTTCAACGTTAAGTTGCCTCTTGACTGTAGTTCAATTCAAATTTGCGATTTTCGTAAAATTGTTCTATTTTGTAAAATATACTAAGCTTTGACAATATACTTGTACGGATACCACATTAGCCGTACCGAACGGCGCAAAAAATGTTTTTTAAAATTGGTAGAGTCGCCTTTCACATAATTATACGTATTGTTTTCTTGATTTTACGCGAATATTATACATATTAAATTAAAATAAAAAACGCGATAAAATCCGTAAAGTAGTTTCATTTAATATGTATAATTATACGTGTCACTTGAATCATTAACGAATAACGAGCTCACGAAAAATAATCAATTATGCCGGTTTGTCATCAAAACGTGTCGCAATTATGCGGGAAAATCGTGTCCCAGTTACCAAGATCAGTTTTTTTTCAGTACTTGACTGCCATCCCACCTGATGGTAAGTGGCGATGCAGCCGTTGATGGTAAGCGCGCTAGCTCAGTAGAAACCTATTCACTCTTGCCTTGAAGACGCCAACGTTGTATTTGGACGGAAAGACGTCCGTCTTTCCGTCCATCAGGCTATTCCATTCCTTAGCTGTACGGATGATAAATGAAGAAGCGAATCGCTTTGTTCTTGTACGTGGGACGTCGACAGCATAAGGATGGAGGAAAGGGGCGGGAGGAATAAGATCATGTAACTCCAACGCACACTCTCCAAAATGTATCCTGTAGAAAACTGAGAGGCTGGCGACTTTGCGCCTGTGCTCGAGGCTAGTGAGATTGGTTTTAACCAAGTTATGGTCACCAATGAGCCTTTTCGCACGCCTCCCCATTGAGTCTCCAAGGCAGCCAGATGGCATTTTGCAGCCCCAGCCCAGATATGGCAACAGTACTCCACACACGATCGGACTTGAGCCTTGTATAGAGCAAGAAGCTGTCCCGGCGTGAAGTACCGTCGCACCTTTGCAAGGACGCCTAACTTCCTTGTAGCTACCCTGGCTTTAGACTCAATGAACCGCCCAAAGTTGAGGTTTGAGGATATTTCGACTCCCAACAACTGAAGGCGGTCGGTGAATTCCAACGACACATTCTGGAAAGTAGGAGCCAAGTTGAAAGGGCTTCTTTTTGCGGCTTTGTTTTGGAGGCGTTGAATCTCACAAGATTGGCATCGCCCCATTCAGAGACCGCCTGTAATGTAGTTTTTATCCATAAGTTTTGTTATTTAACCACTTTCAATTTAAGAAAACACGATTTTAACATTCGTTATTTCGTAGGTTAACCATGCCATTCAACCTAATGAAAATACAACTAACCAACCAATTAATGCAAAATTTTGCCAATTGAAAAGGGGATTCATGAAATTTGCAGAAAAAATTGACGGTAAGTTTTTCGCCCCTGCGGTAGTCGAACCTCGCCTTAATTTGCTTATACAGATATAACATTAAAACGATCATACGTTATACGTTTTACTAGAAAATTTGAATAACTGCATACAACTTAAAACACACAAATATGAAGTATGAGAGTTAAGTGTATATCAGGCTAAAACTTAATTTTAATGTTTCTAAAACAGAGCGGATTATAAATAGAAACGTGTTAGATATCTGATGGATTGTTTTAAGCCACGGAGTTTGAATACGGCTGATGAATTTCACGAGCGTACGTTACGCCAAAACCGGGAATTCCCCCCACACCACCTCAAAGTCCAGCTTTCCACAACAGCGCGATTTTAAGACATTTTCTAACTCGCACAACCACTATGGAACGCGGTGCCGCCGGCCGTCTTTCCGAATCCGTACGACCTGGGAACCTTCAAGAATAGAGCATGTTAATTCTTTAGAGAACTAACGAGATGGATTTTGAAATAATTTGGAACTTGTGACTGTTTAGAAACTGTGTATTGTTGCAAGTAAGTAATGGAACAGAACAGAAGCAATATAATAGAGAAAAAGACGTTAAACAAAGAAAATAAAAACATAAAAAAGTATAAAGGAAGATGTTTGAGCATATGTTGCATCTTTTACACGATACGTGGCGCTGTAACGGAGCATATTCTTTCCCGAACTGACGGCAACGCATTCGCAAGATGATCATGTACGGCGTTGTTTACTTTGGATCAGGTGAGCCACCTGGCAGGACTTTTTATTTTTCTTTTTTCTTGCTGCTTCTGCTTTCTTATTCTTGCTTCTTATGTGGTCCCATATTAACTTCATTGGTAATGGATCTTGGGCTCCGGAGATATGTAGGGAACTCCTGAAAATCTTTTATAAAATGAATACAGAGCGAGATATTTGAAGTCGGTTTTGTTTTTCGTTAGAAAAAAAATTGACTAGTTCCATAAAAAAAAATGAGTAATAAAACACGTGTAATTCACTGAATACTTTATTTACACCAATAGTAACGGTATACTTGTAGCCTTATGTAATTATTACAAACGCTACATACAACAAAATCACAGAACACTAAGCTGAGATTAACTATACACTATATCGTATTTGTATAGTAATTTCCTGATTGAAGAGTTAGAAACGTGGAATTATTTTTAATGCTTACGTCTACTATATTTTATAATAAATATTTACTTTATATACTTTACGAAGAACTGCTAATTGTGTATTAATATTCTATCTGTAACAGTGATCAACACGAACCATAGACTGAACCGTATATATACTATTTTTTTTTAAACCTTTGCGAAGATATGAAGTAAGGGAAAACGAGATGTTTCGAATCGAAAATCTTTTTTGTAGCACTGAATTTTCAGTACTAAGTACCATAAACAAGCTAGTGAATTTGCTATTCAATAGTTTCCCGCCCCCTCGAGGGCGTCGGTGTGTATCCGTAACAGAAAGCGCGTTCGCATCCGCTTCCGGACCATACCTCAAGTTTATAGTCCCTTTAAAATGCTTTGAGTTCAAAATTAACAATTTTACACTCTACGATCCCTTTTAAATTCACCTCACCTCCTTATTTTGAGAAAATCAATAATTCAAAAGTGAAAGATTTGAACCGATAAGTTTAATTATTTTTATTTAAAAAAAGTCCACATACCGTATGCTTGTAGTGTGCAATCAATTAGAATAAGTAAGATGACGCAGACAGATTTTTTTACGGGGCACAATACTTTATTATTAATAAAAAAAATATTAAAAATTACGGCTACCGTTCAACACTACGATTTAAAGCGCACGTCAGGTAGCTTTATAGCAATGACGTCATTGATTTTCAAGGTTCAGCCTTTTCAAAAAGGCACCGCTTGACACTAACGAATTTAACTAAAACTAATGGTGGATAGATGGATCATATAGGTTTTACTAGCTGACCCGGCAAACGTTGTTTTGCCATATAAATTATTTGTAGGGTAGAAAAAAATGTTTGGGGTGGACCACCCTTAACATTTAGGGGGATGAAAAATAGATGTTGTCCGATTCTCCACCCTGGCCGATATGCACACAAAATTTCACGAAAATCGGTCGAGCCGTTTCGGAGGAGTTCAATTACAAATACTGTGACACGAGAATTTTATATATTAGATTTTATCATATTAAGTTGTAAAAAGAAGTGATGTGAATCTTTTAAGTGAGCGTCTGACCTCTTTCGAACATAAAACTAAAAGAGATTGATTACTTGATTGACCTATCAACAGGAAATGCCCTTACGTTTGTTTTTTAAAAAATGTATTCCAAAAGAGCGTCTAAGTGAATGTTTTGATAAAACAGCTACACATTGTTTGAAATAAAAATAGATTTTATGGTTCTTACAAAACTAACCGTGGTAAAATAATTATATATCAATATAAAAGAGCTCATCACGATACATGCCAGTATTCGGAAACATGTTTAAATTATATTTTATACTACAGATATGTTATACGCTTACAAAATCACCGATCCTATGTGTTCCAATATCCAAACAGACAGACGTCGAAAGGTATAAAAAGGATAGCGTAATTAAAGCGATAAGAAAGAAAGAGGACGGCAAGAGTTTTCCACTTTAGCGTAAGTTTTACACTTACTCTCGAGATGCATCCGTCTTTCTCGTTCCCGTATTAAATTTATCTCTTGCCTCTTTCTTAGTTTTCTAACCTACATAAATTTAAAAATTAGGACACGGTGACTTACTCACCGCCGCGTCTAACTTAAACTAAAGACGAGACGTCCCACTTAGGACGTTTTCCACGGCTTCACTTTGGGCGCGTTAGCAACATATCTGTAGTATATAAAATATGATTAGTTACAAAATCGATATTGCTGTATAAGGCGCCACCGAAACATTAATTAGTCCTTGGCCGTTTTACTTTTTAAAAATGAATGGTGGCTTATGAAATTTTGATCTCTTAACTTGCTACATATCATTGGATTTGGTGTGTGTAGTCGACGCTTACTTTAAAATACCACACCGACAACAATTGCTTGGCGGTTAAGTTGACGTCATAATTAACGATTTTCACCGAAGATTGTACATTCATGTCATCCATGTAACAGAAAATTAACAAATCGTTTGTATATTCGAACATAGAGCTCACTAAACCAACGATACATTAAAAAACCACTAAGATATTCTATCTATTAATTCTAAAAAATGAATGATAAATACTTGTTATACCACATCACAGTTGGTAAGCGTTTAGCGTCATTTAAGACGTGAAAAGCTTATAGAGGGTGTGTTATTTTTTGTTGGTTCAACATGTCGCCTAGTTGTATATACAACCGTAGTAAAGTAGCTTGCTCACTATCCTTGACTTAAAAAACAGTACAATACACCAACAAGTCAAATTGATCAAACACTTTGTGTTACAAATTGGTTTCAGAAAAGTCAATCTCTGTTACTGACCGTCTTAATTACGAAGAAGGTCGCGAGATATCTTCTAACATACATATGCCACTATTAATTAACAACGGACGTTCCTACTCAATACAGTTTTTGCAACTTTATACATACCAACGCCGTCCTATAGATAATGTAAACATCGCTCAAACAAACAAAGAAACTGTTCGAAGTAGTAATTTTCTAGCACAGCCATCCCAAAGCACGAAATATTCCTACTAAAATAATATAATCATTACAGCGAGTAAACATTAAATATTTTTCTTAGTTCATTATTAAATAGTGGCTCTTGCGCCCGTCCCAACATCGAATTACAAAATTTCCAAATCGCAGTGTCGGATTTGCGGAAACTTTTTCTAAAAACAAAAGAAAGAAGCCGTTATTATTTTTATCAACTGGCCAGTTAATAAAGTAACATAAAAAAGAAAATTAAGTTAAGAAGAGAGTCGTGATAGCTCAGTGTCAGTAATTCAATTTACTCGAGGAACCTGAGTTCGATCCCCGTTGCCATCACCAATGAAATTGTTCATTTTAAGTGCTGACTTATCACGTGCTCAGCGGTGAAGGAAACATCGTGAGGAAACCTGCATATTTTCAGAGTCCGCCAATCCGCAGTGGGGTCGCGTGGTAGACTATGATCTGATACCCTCTTTACAAAGGAGGCCTTTGACCAGCAGTGGGACATTAATAGGCTGTAACTGTACTGTAATAAAGAAACTCTAACCCGTAATTTCAATTCTATTCTGTCAATCTCCCCGCCTAACATGTCCACAATATTTTCGCCGTGTTTTAGTAGAAACGCTTCTACATTATCTATGGTCTCAATTTTCTTTATGTCCTGTAATAGAAAAAAGCATAAAATAATCAAAAATATTTTGAACGAAAAGTCATCAATACTGAGATAGGTAACGTTTATACAATTACCTCTAATAAAACATTTAAGTCGTGTTTCTCCAAATAAGACCGCGTCAACGCTCTGCCGTCAAAATCAACTTCTGCCTAAACAGATAAAATTAGTAATTTTTATTAAATTGTTTAAGTTGCTGTCTTTACCGTTAAGCTCAACTCTAATTTGTAGGATAAGCAACATAGGTAACATTAAAAAACTTTTGCTCATAGCAAACACGAGTTATATTTTGAAATTACACCATGCATAGTAATTAAAATTTTTCAGAAAAACTTACTTTGTATCTAATAAGATTACTTCCTATATCTATACCCTTAACGTCATGAATAGCTCGAATCATGAAATCTCTCTCCAGAACACTGTTAATTTCGTCTAACTGCTCCTGTGGAATAGACCTGAAGAACACAACATCTTATATAGAAAAGTAAAGAAAATTTTTAAGTATTGTGTTAATGATAGTCAAGGTTTACAACAAATGAATTAAAAAAAAAGTGTGTGCGTGTAACCTTTACGCGCGATTGAAGTAAAACTTCTTTGGCGTTGACGGCATATATCACTGAAATGATTAAATATTTAGTAACGTCATAAGTATATGTCATATTTTAAAAATATGACATACGTTAAAAATATGACTACGTTACTTCCGTCAGAAAAAGCGTTACTTCCGTCAGAAAAAATCTGAGTTACTCCCTAGTCGCGCCTAAAGAAGTTTTACTTCAAAAACTGTATTCTTAGTTCTATAGTAAAGAACTAAAAAATTCAGAAAAACATAAATAAAACGAAAGTATTTTACCTGCCAACAAGGGCTCCAACATTGCTTAAAATAATAAATGAGGCAACACCACCCAATATTGTTCCCACCAATATGCTTCCAATGGCATCCGGCAAAGGGTTGCCAGTATATTGTGAGATGGCCATACAACTTGCTGCCACTACAACTCCGGCAACAGCAGCTGTATCTTCAAGCAAAACAACATTCACTGAGGGGTCGGAGCTGCGCATAACTGCAAGAGAGGGTAATATATTAAAAATACACATGACCAAAATTGGTGGTTAACATTACATATGGCATACGGGAAGTAGCAGGGTTTCACAGAAAACCAGTCTTATGATGAGTGGGGTAACCCGAGCCCCACTTTTTATTCATGGACAGCGGTAATCACTTTATATCAGGTGTAGCTTTTGCTCGCTTCTGCTCGTTGCCGTATATTAACATCACTACATAGTATAAAACAAAGTCGTCTGTCTGTCCCTATGCTTAGATGTTTAAAACTATGCAACGGATCTTGATGCGGTTTTTTTTACTAGATAGAGTGATTCAAGAGGAAGGTTAGGTTTATATGTATAATACATTAAACCCTTGCGAAGCCGGGGCGAGTCGCTGCTTAAAAAAACAATTACGAACAAATAAATCTACTATGGGTTCATATACTCTTACTCAGCCAGAGAATAAACAGCAAGAATCAATTTTTATAACCAATTTATCTTGAAAATGAATATTATTACACCTATTGTCAGTTGATTATAACAATTTTGAAATAAAGTAAATGGTTCTATCAATGTAACTTACCATATTCACTCAAGGGCATGTTGGCCTCTTTGGCACCCTTCCGTATGGCACTTAAAGCCACCATTAAAGTTGCACCCTCCGAAACAACGGCTCCACCAAGAACAAAATATGCCTGCATAAGATAGATAATAATGTTACAACACCTCTCATAGTTATTTGTACAATGAACCAGGCAGGTAAAATAAGAAGGTGTTGGGTAAAGATTTAAAATATCTCACCCAGAAGAAGTCGTGGAGAGGCTGTGGGTCCATAATGCCAACTACTCCATGGTAAAAGGATAGACCACTGCCGACGCAGAATATCCCCACACCGGATATCAGCGATGACACATACCGCATATTTGTATAACCGTATGGATGGTCTGGATCAGCAATCTAAATATTTATAATAACTGATAGTACATAGCAATGAAATAAGATACTTTTTAAACAAAACCAGCCAAAAATAAAATTACAGTCTAATGTTATTAAAGCTTAAAAATTTTGTACAACAAAATTGGTGATTTCTATAACCTTACACTTATAGTTATATTAGTTTCCTTAGTTATATTATTAGTTCCTTAGTTGTATTGTGATATAGTACTTGATAAATTAACATTACATTATTATTAACAACAACATTAATTTTCTATACTACACAACAGTACATTGATCTTGTATTTTTTTATGTGAAAAGTTGCCAAATGAGCAGACGGTTCACCTCATGTTAAGTGAATACCGCCGCCCATGGACATCTGCTACACCCGAGGGTTGCAGATGCGTTGACAGCCTTTTGAATATTGGGCTCCGGTCACCTCACACAACAGATGAAAGGCGAAAGCATTAAAGTTCCACTCTACGCCGGTATTCTGTGAGGTTGTGGTACTTACCCGGACGAGCATGCCCATTCATACAATTTTCTAGTTCTATTATTCAATAACTTTGGAGCCATGAGCACTATGCACAGTGAATGATGATCACTTCAAACATGGTGCAATTCAGAAATCAACATTTGGTGGAGGATTTTAACATATTTAATTTCATTGAGTGAAATTGATATGCCTAGCCGTAGTCCTTACAATTACAGCTTGTACAATAGAGTATACATACTTGCACAGATTTATGTATTCCATATGCAAGGATAAGTTGATTAACAGTGTCCGCAAGGGAGTGGATGCATTCACTGAACAAACTATGAGATCCAGTATAGAACCATGCACAGAGTTTAAATATGAAATTACATCCATTTCTGAAACAAAGACATGCCTATGATTTAATTATTTTTATCGAAAAAAAAAGTCTATTTCAAAATAAATATTCTTAAAACATAAAACAAAATTATTTACTTACATTCCTATAGCTGTTAAAACTACTCTCCCTGATCTGGTTCTTAAGCCTAATTCCTCCACACCATGCTTTAGACGTTTATGGCTCATTTCTCTTCTATAATTTCTTAACCTTCGCTTAACAGTGAAAACATCTGAAAAGGAGAATTTATGGTAAAATAATTGTCAGAAACATACAAACATTTATATGAAATATCGTAAAAAGATCAGTCAGAAATATAAATTTTAGATGTTATTTATCATAAAAAAATTATGTTTGATGATGAGATGTAAATGATAATGTATGAAATTATATTATATTAGGTAAAATATTTTACTTGTCACAATTATTATGTCCAGAATAAAATTAAAGACGTTAAGTATGGACTAAAATCTAATCAGCTTGGTAGCTTAACACAATATGTAAATTGTCTGTCGCTTCGGCTACTACCTTCACTTATTTAACTTTATTTGACAACAAAGTAAAGAGTACCCACATTTAAGGCACATATTAGAACATGACAACAATAATAAAACATATGAATATTCTGATATTATACCTTGTTCATATCTTCTCCTATCTAATTCCCTACGTAGTAACTCCTTTTCTAATGTTTCCCTTGAGCCCCAAACCTGAAGAAAAATGCATTTAACTTTCTTATCTTATAAGGGAAATAATTTTTAAAATTGTAATTTAAACTTTCGGAAGGTCATGATCACATGAAAAAATAAAAAAATAATGGACAGTTATTTTATTTTTTAGCTTTTGGTAATTTAGTAATAAAAACAATTGAATGGTTATTTCATTTTACAATATCAGTACCAAAATATGTAAGCTGCTACAATTTAACTGCAAAACTTGTTATGAACAATATGCATTTTGTACATTTTAATTTATCAAAACTACAATATACTAAAGAAAGAATTAAAAGCAAGCGCCGAGGCAATGAGCTATCACGGCTTATAACTACAATATACAAGTGGCAATTTAAAATCAGTGCCTTTTTAACAGCAGACTGAGAAGACCGAATGAGTAGATTTCAATGATTTTAGTATGTTACAAAACTTTTTTGCAAGAAAAACACAACTGAAGTACACTAAATATATTATTAATGCTCTTCAATGTATAATAATTTTATACATAAGCTGAGCTGGTGGTTCTTCTGATGTTAACTGATAACCGCCATGCATTTGCAACACTTGTAGGGTTGCAAATGCATTGCCACCTTTAAATAAAGTGGGCTGGACTTATATTTTAGATTATATACCCCTAAGTATTATATACCCTTATGATTTATTTCAATGGTTATATATTTCTTTACCAATGAAATATATTTATTAGTGATAATTATTATTTATGAGTGGAGACCACGTGACGGCAAACGCAGCGTAGGAAGGCCTCCCACAAGGTGGACGGACGACCTAGCCAAGATCGCAGGGATGCGTTGGATGCAGGCCGCTAACGACCGGTCGAAGTGAAGTCAATGGGGGAGGCCTATGTTCAGCAGTGGACGTCCTACGGCTGATAGGATGATGATGATGATTAGTGATAAACATGTGCATCCATAATTTGTCACATTACACAACAATTAAAGAAAAGGTTTCCGTAAACCTACATAATTAAAAAATATTTACCTAATTAAACACAAGCCAGTCAATAATTCCTAAGAACACAACCATTTTTAAAACAAAATGTTTACAGACCTCTATAGCCTTAGCTTCAACATCTTTACGATAATACACTGTAATTGGAGGCTCTGATTCATATGGTGATCTTCGGAGTACTTTAGGTAATGTTTCCAAATCAGATTGCTTAAGCAAGTACTCAGTCATGGCTCGCATTGGTGTTATAAAATTTCGCTCAGTATACGATGCCGAAAAGTCAATGAGCAGTCTTTTTTTTACTGAAAAGGAATAAGTACTTAAGTTTTATTTTTATTACAATAGCTATGTTTTTAATTTAAAAGATATTTCAGCCTACCTTGAGGGGCTACCTCATTTTTAGGTGCGGCTTGTGGTTTTTCAATTGTTACTTTTGTAACAACATTATTTTCATCTGTTTCAGTCTTTACTACTATTCCACTTACACTTTTTGCTTTAGTTAATTTCTCTACAGTATCTATAGACTTCTTATAATTTTTAGATGTATCGCTTTTTTCAAATATAGTAGTGGACGTTTTCAAATGTCGATTAATAACATTTCTCTCTATATAAGATAATAAACCATTTTGATGTATGCTTCCAGGAGATCCATAACATAAGTAACTCCATCTTTTCATGTGAAAACATCTTCTGCCAATTTTTCTATAAAAGATTGCAACCTTTGACGGCAACATGATTTTTGTAAATGAAAAAGCTATGTAAATTAAGTGAGGAGGGATAACTGCAACCACTTTGAATTCTCTTAAAATGCTAGTAATAGGCGCATTGTCTTATTCAATAAAATATATATGAAAACAACTTTAATTTTAAATCTCATTACTACTAAAATAGCCTTTATTAAAGCTTGGAAAGTTATTAAAATAATATATACTAATTTCTAATACACGGCTAAACAAATCCGTGACAGCTGCTGTCTAAAAAATGATGTTGACATTTGATGACATAATAAATATTAACATCTGTGAAGTTAAAAAAAAATCGATATTTTTGATGTAATGGCCCGAGGCTTTCATAACTTTACAGGAAGATGCACGCATACACAGGATACAGGCATACACTCCGTGGGCTCAGGAGAAACAATTTACCTATTATAGTGACGATTACATATTGACACAATACCACAGAACACTCAAAGAGCACCATACGCTCCGCTGCAACTCCACACAAGACTCTCGTCACAAAACATGGAAAATTAACTATTAGTAGGGCGGGAAGCTACACGATCCAACCATATGGAGAGATTCGAATTCGCCTTGAACCATCGAGTCTTAACTTATCTATGATTGCTTTCCGTGAGACCCTCATCAAATTCTTCTGGCAATTTCCAGATTTGACTGGGCATCGAGTTCCTAGTGCCATTATCCCCATCGACCATGTGCGTGCAGCAACTGTGCCTTATAGGGACGTAGGAGTCCTGACCCAAGTCCCAACAGGTACTCATATGAACACCTCGACTTTACCCCCCAGCTCCCAGGCTCCCAGAACTAATAGCTCCTTGGTTCCAAGCTCCCAGGTCCCCCCCGCCTCCAATAATACAGGATGAAGAAAATTAGAGAATTGTTTCTAAGCTCCTCGACCAAAGAAGCATCACGTACTTCAGGGTCAAGTCTTTTTTGAACGGTATCCAGGTTTCTACTCAAACAGTCAATCACTACCGCTCTCATACTCAAGGAAAGGAAAATGACGATGCGTTGCGTGTTGCGCACTGGGAAATTGTAAGTCCGACAATGGTTGAAAGCACGGGTTCTGACATTTTCTTCTACAACAGCCATCTTAGTCTCTCCGGCAACTCGAAGCGGCGATTCATGACCGCGACCAAGCGTTTGGATGTAGGATGCAAGATTGGAGATTGCCACAAAAGAAATTTTCTGTGAATCCTATCCGGAGTATAATTTAAGTGCGGTGAACCGAATAGATTTTTAGCTGCTTCGTCTTGGTTAATGTGGATTAAAAACATCTGTTATTTCCGTAGCACCAACTTTATAATTTAATTAATTTAATTATTATAATATAAAAAAGTTATAACAAAAAAATTTATTGAAGTATATATTACTAATATATTAAATATTAAGATTTCTATAGCTTGTTAGATATTTGCCTCATGCACAAATATGCAAATTTTATGCACAGCTATCACAAAGGCGGACTTAATGCCAAAGGTATTATCTCCCAGTCAACCTTGGGGTCGTACAGAGAAGTTTAGGTTATTTAAGAAAAAATTAGGAATTTTATTTACAATTAAGTTTAAATTGTTTTAATACAACATAACATCATGTACATAACAATCATAGATTCATCACATAAATGTCATCGTAAGAAATTTTGACATTTCAATGACAGTTGTAGTTGACAGTTCTTTTCGTTTCGGCAAGTGATTGCAAAGGTGTGTTTATGTATTTTAATCTTTAAAAATCTCATAAACTGTTTTGCTATTAAATTTTTTTGCAGTAGTACATGTAATCGCGACATCGGGTGTGTGTTTATACGACGATATTTTTACTTTTTCCATTTTGTAATTTCAGAATACGATGGCCAAACCAAAGGGGGAGAGAAAGGGTAAATCCGCAATAAATGAAGTGGTTACTCGTGAATATACGGTAAATTTACATAAACGCCTCCACGGAGTTGGTTTCAAGAAACGCGCCCCAAGAGCTATTAAAGAAATTCGTAAGTTTGCTGAACAACAAATGGGCACTCCCGATGTCCGTGTGGACACCCGTTTGAACAAGTTTCTGTGGTCCAAGGGTGTGAGGTAAGATGTTTATACCATACGTACCTAATTTACTTACAAAATTTTTGATGTATTGATTGTTTGTATGCCCAATGTGATGTTTCAAGCTCTTAGTAATCTTATTTTATGACCAGTTTTATGAAATCTCTTTGTATATATGGCACCCATATACATATTTGTATATGAGTGCAGCTTATTAAACATATAAAGCATAAAAACCAATCTGTTGCATAGTTATAAAGATCTCAGCATACATAGGGACAGCATACAAGGAGCACAGACAGCGGGATGACTTTGTTTTATACTATGTAGTGATTATTGATGAGTAAAATAATATTCACCTGTATGTATCAAGTGCTGCTGAAATGTGTTTCCAACATAATTTTCTACAGAACTTAAATATTTAAATTAAAAATTACCGTTTTTTATTTTAACCTTAAACCTATTTTTAACTGGTATTTTAACCACTTTCATTTTAAGCTAAACAATAAATTTGTTCAAAATTCTTTTATTCATAATTAAAATTGATTGTTTATTTTTTGATACAAATGGTAGGACTTCAAACTAGGCAAGATTTTTTTTCCATTAGTGGATGTTTTTCCACCTTACAAAAATTTTTATTCTGTAGAGAAAAATCACTAATGAAATAATCAACAAGCAGGATTCGCTGGTTTGCTTCGTTTTTTTTTTAAATTTTTAAAAATTATGGTTTTTGAAATACACCTCACACATGGAAAATTTTGTCTAAAAAAAGTTATTTTTTAATTTTAATTTGTAAATGCTACACCATGGTCAATTTTACGTTTTCATTTTATATTTGGCATTGCTATATTTCTGTTAAAAAGGGTAATTATTTACATTGATACATGCAGTGTTTCATTTTTTTTTAATGAACAAGTAATGTTGAAGTAGTTAATAATTGAAAATTTTTCCATTTCAAGAAACAAAATATTTAAAGTTTAAGCATAATAACAAAATCCACCATTACCTTACAACATTCATTGTATGCTACAATTTAAATTTCAAAACACATTTTTACTTGGCTGCTGGATGCAATGATACGAAAGAAATCACTACTTTTGTACTTTACTATACATTAAAAATATTTGCTTGCTGCATATTTAAATTTGTTGTTTTCACTCTAAGGGAGATAGACAGTTAGTATGATGATTTATTACCATTAGAAATTAAACCAAACTTAATGGAAAGTAATTTTGAATTAATTACTCATAATTATCTATCAATCAGTCATTTTAAAATTCTTGGACACTAAGTATTATGCTATGGTAAGGTTTTAATCATATCTTATTATTTTTCAATATCATGAATGACACTGGTTTCTGTAAATCATTATAAAAACCAAATATTTACCGTCTGTTTTGTTTCAGAAATGTACCATTCCGCGTACGCGTAAGGCTATCGCGCAGACGTAATGACGATGAAGATTCAGCCCACAAACTATTCACACTTGTGACATACGTGCCTGTTGCGTCAATCAAAGGCTTGCAAACAGAAAATGTTGACGCTAGCCAAGAATAAATCTTAACATAAGTATACTTGGCGTTTCATTTGCAAGTTTTCTTTAAGCAGTGTATTGCGGTTTCAAATCCTGCTACAACTAATTAATACAATTTGCAATATAGAAAGTATGATATAAGCGCCACTACTTATATTGCGTTCAAAAATTTAAAAAGTAACATATCTTTCAGTCTGATTCTCTTGGGTTCCAAGCACTTTCGTTTAGACACCGATTAAGTATCGTAAGATTAGATGCCAAAAGTATTGAGTACTCGTATTTATTTGGCTGTTGAATAGGATGGTAACAGGTGGCTTTAATGTTAAAGTAAGCGATTTGTTTTAATTGAAAAACCAGATTTATAGTTTTCACACGCTATCGATACATAAAAAACGTTTAACTTTCCAAAAGTGTTTTCAATTGATTAGAACAAAAAGCATTCTCACAGATACTACTGAGAATTGACATAGTAGTAAAAGGGGAATAGTAAAACTTTTGTGCGTCTTTGATTTTCAAGGCCAGTACCGGCGACTATCACGGACAAATGAATGGCGAGAATTTTGAAAAATGGGTGGTGGAACTTGTACCAATGTCTGAGGTCAGTGTATCCATAATCAGGATAGGTCAGTGTATACATAAGAGATGAGGGTTTAAAGCTCCAAAAAGTTCGTAACGATTCAGAATTGCGTGCAAGCTCGGCTGAACATGACACGGACAATCTTTCGGTACTTTCCACTATTTTCTCTTAAAACCCATCGCAGAATTTACCGGGGTACTCCGATATACGCCTTCTCCAGACTAAAAGACACCATAATATAAAGGTTATTAGTGCACGTCTACATTTTTTGCAACTAGACGCCCGTTGCAGTAACGGACCAAGCCCTTCAGATTCCCGGGGCGGCAAAATTAAAGAGAGGTTTAAGAAGTTGATCTAATTTTACAAGCATTTTATTCACTTCAGATTTGAATGTAATATGTATGTTTTTGTTTGTTTAGCTAAAAAAGAGAAATTTTGAAAAACTAAATATATGTAGAATAGTTATAGACGAGGAAAATACAATACGAATCGATCGGCAAAAAACGAAGTAGTTTTTAGTTCCAGTAAGTGTTCATTCGAAAAAAAAAGAAGATGATTTCGTTGTAGTTATAGAGGAGTTCAATAAAAGACATAAGATACTATAATAGCTAAAATACTAATAAAAAAATAGAGCTAAATACTAAAAAAAATAACAGGTTACAGTGGTATCTTAAAGTCAAAGTCAAAATTTCATTCAATATAGGCTTATTTTAAGATCTTAATGAACGTGAAAAAACTACGACCAGTTCACTAAACTAGACTTGTCCACAGAAGAGCCGACAGAAAAAGCGGTCTTATTATTCTAATTATGTAGTTAGGTACTTATAAAAAATAATTTAATTTCAAAATCAGCACCGGCCATGGTACTTGCGAGTGCAGAGCAAGAGTCTTTTCCACACATCCTTGTCCTCAATGTATTCGACAGTTTTTGTGCGAGAAAGTGGCAAGTTAGCGGGCGGTTCACCTGATGTTGAGTGATAACCGTCGCCGGACATTTGGAATGACCCTAGGGAGCCACCTAATACAGTTTCCCATCGTGCCAGTGTGTGCGATCACAATCCACATATCTAAACGGAGGCACTTTCGATCAAATCGTGCACCAGTATGATCGCAAGCAAAACCAAGTAGTTATGTCGCTTTGAATCGCTGCACGTCGTTATGTGGCCTTATATTATGATCAAAGCCCAGAACGATTTCAAGTTTTATCACGGATTTGGTCAGGTGTCTAGAGATACGAGATTAGTACTAGAGACTGGCCCAACATCTAAGTAATTAATATAAATAATAAATATTTATAGGGCACTTTTATTACATAACGTTCTAGTCTAGGCTCAAACTAAGTAATGCTTGTAGTACTGGTACTAGATAACTAATAAACATACTAAAACATACTTTTCCTTTGTAAATAAATACATATAGATATATAAACACACAGACACTAGAAAAATACCATGTTCATCACAGAATATTTCTCCAGTAGTGGGGATCGAACCCACACCCTCTGACGCAGGATGCAGGTACACTAACCACGACGCCATTGGGGTCGTCATCTGTTAACATGATTTCTTTCCTTAAACCGACGAAAGGAATTAGTTCGCCATCATAAACAAAACGTGAAAATCCGAAGGACTTCTTAGTTCTTCAAACATGACTATGACATACCTACATAAAATAACGCTTTTAATTTTTTATATTGAATATATTACCCTTTACGTACACGTATTCACCCGTAGAACCCAAGTCCGTGTCTATGACACAGCCCCATCCATTTTTTGAATTGCCTTCCACTATGGAAGCAATTTTAAAAACGTATTCGCGTTAAAAAAGACGAAGAGTGGAGGACCACTTAAAGGTGATGTAAATATTACAGACGGACCCGCCTTCCTCGCGCAAGGTGTAATTCACAGAGTCGCGTGGAGTCAAGAGCGCGATTTATGGGCCGACAATTGCGATGGGCTTTTAAATGAGCACTGCAGCGATTTGCCGCATTTACAATGATTTATATAATCTATACGTGTAACGTTTACGTGAACTTAATATTATTATTACACGTAGTTATACTCTGAAAATAATGCAAAATGAAATTTAAAAAAGGAATAGCTAATTATTTTTTGAAAATGTCGAGACAGATATTATTTTTTTTACACTTTAAATGTCTTGTTTGATAAACAATATTTTAGATTTCTTGTGATGACGTCTATGGTCATTCACTGCATGCCAATGAGAAGTTATAATGATTATAAGCATACTTTTGGTTGAAGTGGTAATGCGAGATGAGCTGTCCTATGTCGATGGTCACACATGTAACGTCCTTCATGTTTCTATGCTGGCTAAGTACATTATACAGGATTCCTCCCCATTAAGAATTCTTCCACCCGATTGTTCTGTTTTCCACCCGATGACGAAGACCTTGGTACACGACGTATACGGCAATACAAGTCAGCAGATTAGGGTGAGATAGTGCCCTCTCTCTCGTAGGTTAGATGGCGCCAAAATTTTCCTTTCGAGAGCCTTCGAGCTGCACGGAAGTACAGTCATAGAGTATAGAGTAGTGTAGAGTAGAGTAAGTACAAGTCATAGAGTATTTTATCTCTTGCAAGTTAACCAGTCTTCAAAAAAGGCGACAGAGCTTTGATCGTATTCATATCACAAACATCGGGCAGGATAATTTTTTGATGCCAATTCTTATATCTCTGCTATGTTATGTATGCTCTCTGCAATTAGTATATTGATTTCAATAATCTCCATACACTAATTAAATGCCAGACTTATGACAATTACGGTGGTAGGGTCACGCAGCAGCCTCGGCTGTTGCACGAATGGGCAGGCTCGTCCGGGTAAGTACCATGACCTTCACAGAACACCGGCGTAAAGTGGAAGTATAATATTTTAACCTTTCGTCTGATGAGTGAGGTAGCCGGAGCCTAATTTTCAAAAGGTTATCAAGGCATCTGGAAGCCTCGGGTGTAGCAGATGTCCATGGGCGGCGGTATTCATTTAACATCAGGTGAACCGTCTGCTCTCTTGGCAATTTTTCACATAAAAAATCAAAGAATAGAATGAGCTTCTCAGCAACATTTTTATATTGATGAAAGGCAAAGCCCTGTAAATCAACGGGGAGGCAATGGCCGTTCAAGAGTGCCCATATGAGCAAATGTCAAACAAAACCAGAATTCCGCAGGGGTAAGTCCTTTTCACATTATTCTCTGGCTGGATAAAATTGAACCTGATGACAACTGACATCTATAGGTCACAATACATAATAGTACAAACAGCAATTGTCGTAAACTAAAACCGATTATTGGAGCCATGGGAGATGTAATTTAGTCTGAAAGAGAGGCTATGGAGTGTTGAAGTTCATATTGCGAGCAGTTGGATAACGGTTAAGTATACAAGTAACTCTCGGAAGTACTTGAATTAAAAATTTGCTTTGCTTTCGTACGATTTTAAAAATCGAAACGTTCCTTGTGCTACATAATAAAGCCTATACCATAAAGAGGTTTGTATTAGTTGATTAACGGTAACGTGTATAACACGAATTAGTAATGAAATACGAGAGCTAACCCGTTTAATAATTACGTTCAACTACAACGTTCACAATTGAAGGCCCGAATTATTAGCTAATGTGTACGCCGACAATGTTTCGTACCCAATCAATAACCAAAGCAATTAATGCCGGCAATATTGTAACAAGGTGGAAGGCGATCTTTGATTATGTTCACCAGTGGACCCTAAACGGTGATTCTATTTATTCAGGATCCGCCTTGTGGCGACCAGTTGGCTAACAATAATATTGTACTGTTTATTTAGGCCCTCCGTTACACATTACACGTATTATTCGGTATACGAAATACAATATAATAAATCGCCAAACATTTTCATTAAGCGCAATGGCTCGCATAGCGAGGAATTTCCATAGACTGTTTTAAGTTTCTTGAATTTAAGTCTTTCAAAGATTGAAAAATCTTATGGATGTTTACACAAAGAAGGTTTAGTAATATGTAAAATTATGCAATGGTTAAATTTAATATTAAGTTCCAATCTCTGCAATAATTAAGTGCTAATCTCTGCAAGATCCTGACTATGTGCTGACAAGTGTTGATTAAAATGCAAAAAAGCAATGTTGATAATATACGTTGATATTTTCACCGACGTAGCAATAAGCCGGTTTAGCTTAGTAGGTAAGGCGTCTGGGCGCAATTCCGGAAGACGTAAGTTCGATTCCCGCAGCGGCAAAAACTGTTCATCCCGTTTTACTTGTAAATTGCTATTTTGCGTTTCTTTTGGAATTAAGGTTTCTTAACTCTGATGATTTTAATACACTTATAAAGTTTTATGATTACGTAACAGCTTTCCGTATTAAGAAAATATATATGTGAAACTTTTGCAAAGAAAATTTTCATTTCGCACCCTGCGTAGAGCAACGTGACATCTACAAAATTG